GTGATGAACTGCTCTTTCTAAAAATAATGCCCAAAGTTCACTTTCTGCTGTGTGATTCATCTGTTTTAGGATGAGATGTCTGTGTTTTTTATTATTAATATTATTATTATTACATTTTTATCACAGCTGACTTCAGTGTTGTGTTTTTGTGTTTTATCACTGTGTGAGGAAAGAAAAAATATTAAGTGTAAACCTCCACTGAGAACCTGTGAAGCTAAATCTTAAAATAAATGTACCTAGACTCACTCACATGTAATATTTATTCCAGTGATTCATGCACAGTTAAATAAACAGATTTCTGAACTTGATCCATGTGATTTAGACTTATCCGTGTTTGATCTCTTATGCACTCTTACAGGGTTACATTGCTGTTATTTGTTTTCTTTTTCTACTACTAATGCCAAGCTGAAATATGACATCAGAGTCTATTTTTTTCTCCTCTGGATCATTATAAAAAAACTCCTTATAAAACCAACTGCAACTATTATTCTCATGCATTCCTTTGATGTCACGGACACACCTTCCCATCTAGAGTGTTGCATATGATCACAGTATTAATTAAACAACAAAGAAAACCATAATTGACATCATTACATATAATTCATACCATTTCCATTCACTGTAAATTCTCACTGCACACACGTGTCACAGCTGGAGAAGCACAGGTGCAACTAATATGATAAGTAGATGATACATTGAACTCAGGTGTGTCAGCTGCAGGGATGCCATCACTAATGTAATTAGGTACACCTGTTCTTCTCCTGCTGTGACATGACAAGATGTCTCCACAATGGATGTAGTTTAACCTGGATTAATAATATTTATGTATTAATTACTGGTTGGCTGCAGCACAGCATATTTTATTACACTTAAAGAAATGATTTAATGTATTTACACATTATGTGTATACATATCTCCCCGCTATACACATGTTGGCATCAGATAGAGATGGAGCAAATAGCTGAACTTTCAATGTGCAATTATTAATGAACGTGTGCACATGGCCTGTCATGTACCGGTTCATAATTCAAGTGCATGGATTTCACTTTGGGAGTATTTGTTAAACAACAGATACATGACATGTGCAGTATATAAGATAAAATGGTATTATAATAATAATTTGCTGAGAATATTCCTGTAAGATTTTCTTTGCTGAGGGTAACGAAGGGGATCTTTCTGCAGCGGGACGTGTGATTCCACCTTTTGGTAAAGAGCTGTCTGTTAAATATCAGAGAGGAAGAGGATTTCTTTTTAATGTAAATTGTAATTTTTAAGTCACATTTTAGTGTTGAAATGTTTTTACAACAAAACAAATACATACCTATTTTTAAATTTGTCGTGATTCTTTTGTTTCATCTGATAAGAAGTGTCATCTTACTCCCAGAAATTCCTCTTCAGCGAGTAAACCTGAAGGGTCTCATACTTGTGATTGCCAATGCGCGTTGACTCACTGCGGTGATGACTCAGTGAGGAGATGAGGTATTGTAGTATCAAATTTTCGATTTTAGAAGGATTTAGTTGCCCTAATTCAACGGACCGTGTGTATCATAGACACTGATAAAGAGAAACCCTGTCGGTTTCCACACAGCGCATGTGGATTTCATATCATGGTGGAAATATCACTGTGACTACATGATGTTAAAGGCCTGTTTTTTACTCAGCAGACTTACTCGAATTGAGGAAGACAATTCAAGGACACATCTTCCTTTGCACTTGCTGCCAAGTAAATGTGTGTATTGTGATTCTGAAACAGACAGCAACCTGCCATCCCTTTACTTTTGTATCTTATAGTCACAGAAAATGGCTTTTTTTTTCCGGCTGTCACTTGTAAGGATCTGACCGTGGCTGGATGTCTGTGTTGTGTTTTGGAGATGACCTCGGATTTTTCAATCACAGAGAAACAATGCATAAATACAATGATGGTTTTCTTCAGACCAACCAGCAGCAGATATTTTCATAAATAACATATTTTACAATGAGGAAAAAAAGAGTAGAGCGGATTCCAACAATACTGTTGTTTTGTCTTGTGTGTGGCCCAGTCAGACGTGGTGTTCCTCTGGAGGCTGTTGCAACTCTATGAAATGTGTTAGTTATGCTGCTCATACCTTCTGAATTACACTCCTTTGCTGAGGTCCCTCCTCTGGCTGGTGGGTGTTTTACCTGCCAGGAGTGAGGTACTTCAGAGGAAATACTGTAGCATGTCACATGTGGTGTTTTGACTTGGGTGGGGCTGCAGGCGCAGAGGGTATATCTGCTCACACAACGTCGTTGTCAAGCTTTGGGCCAGAGGACTGATGCATTCACTCAGTAAACTGAATCAGAAAAGAAAAACACGGTTCATCTTGGTTATTTAATCTGACTGTCTCTTTTGTCACCAAGCAACAAAAATCTCTAAAACACAAAATCAACCTTGGATTTAAAAGAACAAAAAACATTTCAACATAAATACTAACTATATAATCTTTTTATAGACATAATAAAATACTGTTTTTCTGCTTAATGTTTAAAAACCTTCTGCTTCAACACAATAAGGCATAAAGAAAAGTAGCAGCAGCCAATATAATTAAGCCCATACTATATATTAGACCTAATCTAGTAGTGTATTTCTTCAAAGGGAGCAATAGACTGGCTAAAAGTCTCTGCTTCTCTAACAAAAAGATACAGTTATTTAAAGCGCGGGAAATTAACAAGCACAGCTTCCTTGGTGTGATGTGCTAACCGCCATTTTTACACCCACTTACCTGCACTAGCTGGAGGTGGGATCAACATTAGTGTGTGGCACGGCTGGGACGGTGGGAAAGAGATTTAAAAATAGTCTTTTTTTGTGGTTAATTTCATATTGTACAACTTAAAAATATTGAATAATAATAATAGTTTAGTAAGTTTGCAGACAGTATGTTGTACGTCAAAGGTCCAGGTATTTCTAGGTGGGACCGTGACGATGGGCCATACCCCAGCACTGCCTATACGGCTACAGCCTGACGAGCTGCATAATTAATGGGTGGAATTGAAGGTAATGTCCAATAAAAACAGCCCTGTCATACACTGAACTTGCGCCAGTGCCAAAAATATGTAAAGTAGCTTCAGTGTATACTGTACAGGGCGGGGCTTAGTACATTGTGTATTCAAGGAAGGGTTCACACATAGGTTCAGGTGCCCATATGAACATGCTTGATGTCATCTTTCCTTGTGTTCATACGGGCCGCGAAGAGATCTATACATTGTATTTCAAAAGACACGTCCACAGCAGTCAGGTGCCTATATCAAGATGACAACAGGTTTAACTTGCTGTAATCTTCCCTCCTCCTCATAGGGGCCTGGGTTTATCTGAAGATAATATGAAAGCTTTCGCAATATGAATTCAACAAATCAAGCGGTTATCTTCCAAAGCTTCTGCTTCTCCAGGTCTGTTTCTTCTTCTACTTCTTCTCCCCACCTATAGTCTATTTTTTTCCATTTTTTTTCCATTCATCTCTTCTCCCTTTATCTTCTGGACCTCTTTACCTTGACGGCAGCGACTCATGGAGCAGTTTCTTCCAAGCAGAAAGTCAAAACCAAACCACCTTTGAGTTCCTGTACATGCATCAGGATTCAACTTCTTCCATATATTCATATTTTACGTATTATCCATGGGGAAATTACTGCGTTGCTGTGCTGTTTCAGTATGTGTACTGTTCGTAGGTGAAATCAAATGAGACAAATCTGAAAAACATCCATCATCACCACAGGAGCATTTCACAACATAATAATGCCAGTAATCCCGAGAGGAAAGAGGATTAATTGACTTTTAAATTCCACCAACTCTCTTCCAACTGCCATGCCAGGTTTCTATATTTGTGCCCTTGCAACTTTAATACAGTGAATACACAAACATCGCGTTGTGTTTTGATAAGAGCAATGCCACACCCAGAGAACTACATCTGAACAATGCTGTCTGTCAGAGGACAGACTTCAGGCTTCATGACAGACAGGTGTCATATTCCTACAGAAACACACACTGTGGCATCCAAGAATTCATTCTCAATGACCACAGTCACTATTCAACAATAATTCAGCAGCAGTTCCTGTTTGATATTGATTCTTTTCTGTTAGTGTTATAAAGCACCACCCTTGTTTATTTATTCTAATTTTTTTTTTTTTTTACTTTTTTTCTTTGTGTGACGCACATTATTTGTTTTGAAAGATGCATTCAAACTAAAAGAATTAACTCGCTCTTATGCAATGTGTCCCAACCGCTCGGTCCAACTGGTGGATAGTGATCGAAAATCTCACATTCATGAGATGCACCTCTCCACAGAGAGGTATGGCAGACATCAACTGTCTCAGGAGGCTAGAACCAACACGTAGTGTCTGATAAGTGATGACTGAAAAAAATATTTTACATTTCAGATCATTAAACAACGACATTTTTTCTTTTCTTCTTTCTTTTAACACCAATACAACTGTAAATAAATGTTTGTAAAATAAAATCTGGACCACGTGGAAACTTGTTTTTCATCACTGATAATTTCCAAACCACAATTACCAAAAATTATGGGCCCTACCTTTGTATGGCATGTATGACAGCATTATGATACAGAATCATGACACCCACAGTCACATTAACGATTACATTTTTCTATGCTGTTGTGTTTGCAGTGAAAAAAAAATCTGCTGTTCCTATTTGAAATTCATCTATTTATGAATGAACAGAGACTGATTCTCTTCTTTTGACCCTCATTCGTCCTTGTTTGTGAACCCCTGAACTATTCAAACAGACTTCCTGTTACTCGACACACAGTCCCACCGGTTTCCTTGTAATTCTGCCAATATCGTGTGGACCTTGTCAGTGCATCTTTTTTCTTTTCTTTTTTTTTTTTTAAGGAACATACTTGAGAGCAGGTCGAACTGGTTTGATGAATCTCAGCAGGAAAACGTTAGAGTGAACCCCCCCCCCCCCCACCCCCCCACCTGTGTCAGGCCAGGTGTGGGACTGACATGACGTTGATGACTCGCAGCAGTGATTTCTAGTCTGTCGTACTTCACCGGAGGGAACAGCAACGTACACAATAGAGTAGCTTGTTCTCTGATCACCAGGGCAATGAGATAATATGATCCATCCTTCTCTCAATGGAAACAACACAGGTGAGGAACCGTATTTCTGATACGATCCAGAACATGGTGACATTTCCTTAAGTAGAATTTAAAGAAAAAATAACTATGGTGCCAGGATTCACTAGTGTCTGGTCACTTGCTGCTGTCGCTCGTTATTTTTGGGTAACATGCAGTTGACCTGCAGTAACTCTCTTCTAACTCTTATTGTTTTAATACGCACAAAAAGTAATAGCATAAAAATCAGGCAAGTGTTTGCTTAATGTCCTTATTAATATCATTATATTCACGTGTTTAAAAAGCATGAATATGATTTATAATATAATATATTCTAAGTGAGCATGTGTATATTGACATGTTACAGGGAGTATAAGAGTCTCATATCAATGGGACATTGTCTTTAAGGGACAAGACTGACTCCACTGAGCTGTGTATAAACATGTGTGTATAATTTGATATATGGACGAAACCTGGACATGTGTGATGATCATCAGTCACGATGATGCATGGGACCTTAAAACAGTGCGGCATTGTTCCCGGAGTAGCTCAAGTTTAGAGTGTGTGTGTGTGTGTGTTTGTGCAAGTGGGTCGTGTTATCACAGTTGTGTTACATGTGAACCTTCCCCGTCTGTCAGGCACACGCGGACATGGCACACGGAGAGACCCGAGAGGAGAGGGGCAAAGAGCTGGCGGAGGACGTCACGGAGGACCAGTTCCTTAAAGATCTCTACCTGTTCATGAGGAAGAGAGACACACCGATAGAGAGGATCCCGCACCTGGGCTTCAAACAAAGTACTTCTACTAAACAGTATTCATTTTTTTTTTATCACGTTTTAAAACACGAGCTCTGAGGTCGAACAGGTCTGAAGAAACACACACATAGCAAAAGATGTCATTCAGCATTCTTTACTAATAGACTTCAGTATTTAAGTCAAATAATTAATTAGTTCATGCTATCTAATAATCAATTCGTAATTTAAATATTTTTAAAGCCAAATTTTCTCTAATTCCAGATTTTCAAATGTGAGGATTTGTTGTGTTTCTTGTGAACTGAATAATCTTTGGCCTCAGTAATCGTGATACCAGCAGATTCAAAGTTCCACTAACCCAAAATTCAACTTTTGAAGTGTATTTGATTGTGTGTATTTTTCCACTATTTTTCAGTTGATTTATTTGTGATGTTCAAGACCGTCAGAGACTTGGGTGGATACCACCAGGTAATCAAACATTTCGGATTTTACGTTTTACTATTACTATATTTGTAACTTAACTTACTTAATAATTTATTTGTTTAATAAGTTATTATTTATAAGGGTGAACACCTCTTATATTTACATTTAATCACGTTTATACAAAGGTGACGTAGTGACGTGCATTGCAAATTAGCTGTAAATGCTGTGGGGTGTGACATTGGTCCATGCTATGTATTTATCCCTGTACCAATAAACATGGAATAAAATAAATAATCGTCTTATAAATAATTCATAATTATGCAATTATAAGTAAACCATGTGCTGCACTCCTCCAGGTGACTGCTCAGCAGATGTGGAAGCAAGTTTACAACAGGCTGGGAGGAAACCCTCGAAGCACCAGCGCAGCCACGTGCACGCGCAGACACTACGAGAAGTGAGTTTTAACGACACGTCTTACATTAGTCAGGGCGGGAGTGGACGGTTTGTTTCCTTAACGGTTTTAATTTCATCTATGCGTTACTCTTGCAGGCTGCTGCTGCCGTATGAATGCAATATGAAAGGCATATTAATGAGTGCCGTTCCTCAACATCAGTCAAAGCACTTCCTCTACGCCGACTACACCAAAGAGGACAATGACGGCCAGAGACCGGCCAAACGCAAACTGTTATCGATACGGATGCACCAGGTTGGTTTTACTTTATACACAATACAAAGAAAAGCTGCACAGCACTTCTGCAGAAACACAAATGCGATTACAGTTAAATAATAATAGATTTTTCAAATCTAGATTTATTTTTCTGAGCAACTTATTCTTGTAGAGTGCACTGAACGATAGATTTGCTTTCATGCCAAGAATTAGATAAGAAGATCAATGCCGCTCTCATGTCTGAATGGTAAACATGTAGCTGAAGCAGCAGCTTGTTAGCTTAGCAACAAAGCAAAGAGTTATTTGCCAAAATGTCAAACTATTCCTTCAGCCTCTGACCGAACACTCGTGTTTCCAACAGAGCCCCAACAACCTCCAGTCAGAGCCACATGGGAGCATCTTCCCTCCACCGCTGCACTACCCTCCCTACTACCCCCTGAGCCACAAAGTCCTGCCCCCGTACGTCCCCATCTCCTCCTCAGCGCTGACATCCCCCAGGATTTCTGCCCCCGAGTCCAATTTCACTTTCCATCCGCCTAACCTGAGCCCAACGGACAGGGTTAAAGAGCCGCTGGAGCACCTGCGCCACCTGGCAGAACAATACAAGACCTCATCTGGATTGGCGGAGCCCCTGAACCTTAGCGTTAAAGCACCAAGTCAGGAGACCAACAGAAACCCCGTGTCATCTTTCGCTCCACCTTCATCCAGCAAGAACCCAAAGTTTTTGAACAAACCCTTCCCTCTGTACACCCCTCGTCGCCCAGAGGTGGTGAGAAGTGAAGGATGTGAGACGCAGGACGGTGAGGCAGACGCTGAAGTCACAGCGTATCCATATCCTGCGAAAGCAAGGGAGGCATATGTCATTGATGTCAAAGCCATTACAGCCTCAAGCAGCCCCGAGCGCGACTCTGCTCCGACGCCGAGGACAGATGAAGGCGCCACAGCGACGGCACGAAAACCCAGCTCTCCAAAAACAGACTTTACAATCTGGCCCAAAGAGGAGAGGGAGGGCAGTCCAGAGGGAAGGGGGTTCAATCTCAGTCACATTCTGCCCAGCCTCCCTCAAGCCAACGGAGGCAAGATGGAAATCCAGATACCACTGTCCGTACTTCACAGCTGGCTCAGGCTTTATGGGTCCTCAGCCACGATGCACGGAGCTAAGCAGCTACATGCCCTCCCCACAGAGGAGGAACAGTCTGGACAGAGGAACTGCTCCGACCCCACCAACCGGTCCATCCACACCAGTCCCCAACACTGGAGCCCGGCCGCCGAGGACCTACGGCTGAGGCACAGGGACGCGCCGAGCCCCACAGCAACCATCCAGACGAGTGGTAATCACCGCGACACGAGCCAAAATCATTTCACCAGCTACAAGCCTTCAGGTGGCATTCTGAAAAACGCATCCAGCCGGGACGTCTGTCCAGTTGACCAGCAGGATTTTATTAGGAATTACAGCTGCAAACCCCAAAACTACTGGGATGCCTACGACACAGTGGCCCATGTGAAAACTGACTCTAGTCCCCTCACGCTTCAGCAAGACTTTACAGCCACTAAGTCCTACTGTGAAGATGCACCCAGGGGAGGGAAGGAGAGGTCAGAGGTCGGGCCCTCCTCTGTGCTAATGGTGAATTCCAGCTCCGCGTCTCTGTTGCAGCTCACCACTGAAGAGGTGATGAAGCTGAAGAAAATCATCTCCAGCTCGTCGTGAAAGATCAGTTCATGAACACTGACGCTCCAACACCACATTAAAGCTTTTTCCTGTCCCGCATCTTCTCTAAGTTCTGTAATATGTATATAATCAAAATGACAACGTGTCAAATTAACAAAAAAATTATAATTTAATTGATAATAATAATTCACCAGAAACTGAGCTTGATTTAAGTACAATGTGCCTTTTTATTATTTTTGTACAGAAATGTCTTAACTATATATGTAAATGTACATTTTAAAGTTTTTATGCTAATTATAATGTAAATCTAAATAAATTCACATAAATAAATGAATGTTTCACGACTCATTTGTCATCCCGTTGTCCTCACGTTATTACTACGTTATTACTAAGTGTTTTAACATGAATCCATTCAAACAGTTTATTACTTTTTGTCAAACTGTGTAATTCATACGTAGACGTGTCTCAAGCGTAACTGCCACTGCTTCATTTTCATGCCTTGAAACCAGTTGGTGGCCTGAAGCTATAATGAGTAAGAGGTGTGGTAAAGATTGTCAGAATGGCATCGTTATTTTATTAACACCACAATCTTCCAGTATAATTTTTTTTTAATAGGCTGTGCACACCTGTCTGTCAAGTTGCACCGGTTTGTTTTTTTTTCCCACTCGTTAAATAACCAGTAAAAAATATTATATAACACTAGTAGTTTCCTCCATGCGGTAAATCACTGGCAAATATTCAGTCTCCTGAGGGAAGGGAGTGTGTGTTGTTTGTCTTAATAAGCACAGAGAATCCTTGGTTCTGAACGCTCAAATTCAAACCTGGTATCTGCCGCTTCTGGCCTTTATCGTTTCATACACTCACTGTGTGAAAGCACCGGAAAGTGTGTTAAGTTGAAAAGAGACGACTCGTCCATTGTGCTTCAGTAATCTTTGTGTTTAATTTGTTTTGTCATACCTGCATGTGTGGAGCTTACATAAGCAGGCTGTTTTTATGTTGTTGTTGTTGTTGTTGTTGTTGCTGTTATTGCTGTAATTAGCACTCGCAGATTCTCACAGATGTGTAATGTGAGGAATGTTTAGGTGTGACAAAAAACTTGGAGAACCGACACGCCCATTACTGTAACTGAAGACAGTGATTAGCTATTGGATGAAAAATTTAGTTATTAACAACACAAAGGAGTGATATCTATTATGTTTAACCATTCTAAAAATATATTTAATTTGAATAGAGCTTTAAACCATTAACAGAAGGACGATACTGACTAAACCATCGGCTTAGAAACTGATTCCACCGTCCCTTTGTTGTTTGCGTTGTTCACCTTGATACCGACTTTTTATTGCATTAGATGCATCGTTGAGGTTTAAAAATGCTTGGGGAAAAAAAAACTGATAGTGAAGATTTGAGGAATCCAGTATGAACGTGTTAAGGCAAGAATTTTACTGCTGTTCTGTGGCCAAGTTTCCTAATTCCCTGAGCTATTTGGTTATCAACAGCAAGAAATACTTTTGTTTTGAGTTACACAAGAGCACTTTAGTTCCACAAGTCACAGAGACAGCTCAGCATATGCACCAGACCACAGGCATTACACAATATGGCGCTTGCATGTTGTAGGCCTACACATTTCCGAGCAAAGGTTGAATAGTCGGACATTGTTCACATTTCATTGGCTCAAATTTAAGAATAATAATCAGCAAATTTAAGAAGCACCTGACAGAGTATACAGTGGTGTGTGTGTTTATGGAGTTATCAGTCATTTTAAATAAATAAGACGATAAAAATGAGTAGACAGTATTTTGAAAGTGTTCAAATCCCTTCAACTATTCCAGATTTATGATGTCAAAGACTCAAAAATGTTTTAATTTATTTGTTTTTTTTTGGCCTAGTCAAGTTTATCAGGCACTGTGTGTGGGTGGGATGTTGCGGGTCGTGAAAAGTTGTGGGATGGTGATCTGGATACTTGAACATTACAGGGCGGCGTGTCACTATTGGACTGAATCTGAACGAGCTGAAGATTCAGAAAATTAATCGAAACAAAACACCTTTGTTGTTAAAAGTCACTTACTGACTTTTAATTGCTCCGCCTTCCTTTACATTGCTGAGAGGTAGCTGTTTGTGTGAGGTAAAACCACAGGAAGCTACATATGATGTATGAAGTTGAAACTGCTTCCAGGAGGCGTGGCTACAAGGTCCGTGCCCATCATTGTGTCGGGGCGAACCCACTGCTGGATCCTGTGACTGGTGCTGCCAGACTCAGCCAAAAGGCACAAAGCAGGCCAAACTGCTTCTGTGGGTTCAGTGTCAGTGTGACTGCCTGGCTGTCAAACTACAAATTTAAATATACATTACTACACTATTAATTTGAATAAACCTTAAATAGCATCAGGAAACATTAAATACAAATGATATATCGCATTAGTCCCTGGATTGAATGACCTGCCAATCAATCTGAGAGTGATAGCAGGTTGATTCCCTGTGTGTGTGTGTGTGTGTGTGTGTGTGTGTGTGTGTGTGTGTGTGTGTGTGTGTGTGTGTGTGTGTGCCTCATCATGGCACAATGTGGAGAAATGTACTGTAGCGGGAAATACCACAGAGGTGGTTTTGGCACTTTGGCAGGTGTTTTTATCTGTCTCTGTCTGTCTGTCTGTCTGTCTGTCTGTCTGTCTGTCTGTCTGTCTGTCTGTCTGTCTGTCTGTCTGTCTGTCTGTCTGTCTGTCTGTCTGTCTGTCTGTCTGTTGCACTGACAGCGGCTCAACAGAACAAGATGCAGTCACCAAACTGTGCAGGTGTGTGCTTGATGATGTTGACAGGTGAGGTCCGACCCATGGATGCTGAGTATTCATGTAATCATCTAATAATAGTATAGTAACAAATATGGGTTGGACAATCAACATGATTACGGGCATCAATGGGCGTTGGGTGTCAATGTGTTGATTCATTTGGGTTTGATTTGGTTTGATTATACACTTGACACCAGAGGTGTGTGTGAAATTTTTTGAAAAATGTCCACATCAATGTACAGAATCATTATCATTGGTCACTTGGTAGATGTGTTGGTTTCTCTTTAAATGTCCTGTATTACTAAACAATGGTGTAATTAGATTTTTCTGGATTTTACAATGAGCACACGTTGGGATTTCAGACTCACGCTATTCATTTTTCATTCCTTTTTCCACTAATATTGCGGACTGGGTAAACAGTTAAGATTCATGGAGCAGAGCTAGAGGAATGAAAAATAACTGATGTTCCAGTAAGTTTGGATGTGTCCTCTGCAGATTTTCAAATAGCACCATTTATCATGTCCATGCTCGTTTTCTTGACCAGGCATGGTAACCACACAGACGAGCCTCTCACTCCTCCTTCGCAACTGTGGCAGGGTCATCAATAACTGTGAAAAAAAACAAAAACAAAAAAAAAACAGAGAAATGTAGTGCAAGGTTATTCAAAAAGATGCCGGTGCTCTCGCTTTATCGGTTGACATGTATTTCTGTTTTGGTGTCTAATGAGCTGTGTGAAATTATCTGCAAGGCAGGGATATTGGCACTGCAAGTTTCTCTGAAACACACACCACAATTAAAATTCCAGTTGATAACAGCAAAACACTTCACATATTCTTGACATCTGAAACTATTCATGTGTGAAAACCACAGCCCGAACTGGGAGGCTGCCAATTTCTAATCAGCGTATCAGCTGGTATGAGGATATGGTCCCTTTATGCATCAGAACATACTTCACACATTATTTGCCCGATCACTGTGACAAGGACGTGAGTACCTGGACAGGTATTTCACATTTAATACGTATTTTTAAATGTATCACCAGTAAGCAAACTTATATAAAACAATGCAGTATTTTGGGTAAGGTGTGGGGTTTACACATTTTAGCATTAAGGCTAATCATCCATTGATGAATGGATGGTACGATTACGCTGCTCGCACTTTCAAAACCTCTCATTAGCAACGCAATACCCAGTTCACAAATGCTCTCGCTAATTATATTAAATGCATTTCAAGCATCAAAGAGAAATTCATCGTTAGTAGTTTGTTTGTTTGTTTTGTAGAGATCGGAGATTACATCAAACTCTGACTGCAAATCACTGACAGTTAGAAACTCAGCAGTGACTCATCTGCCTTTCTTTAAAGACAGAGCAAGAGGGTGGAGCGCTGGTGGAAAAACACTCGACTCAAACTATCAGCAGCTATCAACAGATGAAGATACTGCTGACATCATACAATAAACTTGTGAAGAGTGTGACACGCAAATATTTTTCAGATTTAATTACTGCTAACAAGCAAATTCTTTTCAATATTGTTGAAGGCCGTTCAAAACCACTGGATTTTAATCCAACATGTCCACTCGACATCCCCTTCCCCAGTCGTCCCATTTTCTGCCCTCTCTCCCTTGTTACCAGCGGAAATCGTACTACACTTGAAACACAAATTTTTATTAGAAGTTTGGGGGTCTCAGTGAACATTTCTCTGTCTGATGTCTGTGTCCCTGACAACTTCAAGACTGCCTGTCTCCAGCCTCTTCTTTCAAAACCTGGCCTTGACTCCTCTGCCTGCAACTTCAGACAAGTTTCCGAGCTTCCTTTTACTGCCAAAATCTGTGAGAAAAGTCAGTCTCATCACAGCTTGTGAAAGTCCTGTCAGACAACAGTGTTGGAAAAAAAAAAAAAAAAAAAAAACTCTGCCTGATTATAGGAGAAAATCACGGCACAGAAACTGCAACTCTCAGAGTCTCAAACGACCTCTTGTTGAATGCAGATGCTGGAGACTGCTGCATTCTCATTTGACCAGACTTAAGTGCAGCTTCTCAAACAGAGAACGCTATAAAATTAGACTTCCTTGTCACATGCCCAGAAAACTGCAGGCAGTAGATGAAGTTATGCACTGATGCCGTATTTAAAAACATCAAACCTGTGGTAAAAAAAAAAACAAACAAAGAAAAAACTGTAGTAATAAGCTCGTCGAGTCTTGTTTTCATCATCTGACATTTGATGCGTTTTATGTTTTTAAAAAAGAAAGGCAGCAGTTGTTTTACGTGCCGGTGCCTCCTCACGACTGGATCACTACACTGGCGTAAACCAGAGATCGACCAGCTGCAACTGGTGCAAAATGTCGCCGCAAGACGAGGCTAAAACCAGGAAAAGAGAAAACATTGCTCCACTTTTAGCATCACTACACTACACCTATGGAAAATCACAGCACGTCAGCAGGTGTCTAGCTGGCATTTAGCTGGTGTCCAACCTACTGCCATTTATAGTATAGTTATGCACACGGTATAGAGGGCTGATTCATTCCTAGAATAATGGAGAAAAACAACATTTCCAACGTTACACAAAGGCAGCATTGTAAAAGCTTGACCCAGTCTTCTTCTTAGCTTGTTACTTCACATATATCAACTATCAAAAGTCTCCAGCACAACCTGTTCCTCCGGGACATCTTTTGACCAACGTCTGTACACAAACCATCACACCGCTGAACAATATCTGTAGCATTTCACACCCGGGTGCATTGTGTACAGACTTAAACTTGTAAGTTTGGGTGTTTGCCATCCTAAGAAGTCAAATTATCAGTGTTTGATGACACAGCCCACAAAGTATAAGAGGACCATTATGTGTTTGAGTCAAGGTGATATTTGTCTCGCTAAGCCATGATGTCATCTGTTAAGTCATGTGGCCTCACTGGGTGAAACTAAAGAATAGTTTGTGACCTGTGTCATAGTTCATTATTGCTTTCTCCATGATAACTGAATGAACAAGAAATTCAACCCTAATATATAATTACAACACTTGACTCATGCACAATATGCAAATACTTTCACAGAGCAGTTCACACCTAATACAACTACTAATATAAAGCAGACTGAAACAGCATGCGTTATACATCATATTGCAAAAATATTCATTGTTATCTGAAGGATAATATGGGCAGGAAGTTGCTTCTTCACTCAACACTGTTTGTTTTTGTTTTTATCAGTGCAGGAGGGTGAAATTCCAACACACATTTTTGTTCCTCTAAACAAGTCTGTCATTTCCATACCGTACAAGAGTCAGAAGCATGTCCTGTTTGGTGTTGCACAGCTTTTATTGCCAGCCTTGATGGGACTGCCACAACAAACCAGTAATTATGTATGGCACGATGAGCATTAGTAGCATGTATTAATTTCGCCCGGAAGATAATAAATCATGTTGCCCGAGCGTAAAGAGAAGATGTACTTGGTGAGAAGCGTGTGCTCTGTGACTGAAAGCTTACCTTTTCTTGTAGTAGGAGGAGAGCAAGGTGCGGATCTCTAAGGATAAGTCTGGAACCACTAGGCCCTCCCAGGGAGAGGAGGGTGTTACTTACAAAAAATAAAAATAAGAGAAAGGAAAATCACAATACGGAAGCCTTCGATTTACTGTTAAAACATATCAAACTCTGGATCACATATTTGAAACATTTCCCTTTGTGACTGAAATTTTTGTCCGATGACAGGGGGGGGGGGATTCGGAGACAGATTCTTATTTCCTTATTTTCATCTCTTCCTTCTGAGAATTTCTGTCCCTCTTAATGGATGGAATGTTCTTAAAGAAAGAAAAATGTTATTCAAACAACACACCCACATCTTAGGTGTTAACACGTTCGTTCTCCGCGGTTGCTGCTGCTATAGAGTTTAGTAAGTATATTTTCTGATCAGCATGACAGATGGGTTTCTGTCTGCAGGTGTTAACGTCAACAGTGTCTGGCTTGTTGTCCTGGGACATTGTTGGGCAGTGTCATTTATCTCTTTTAGATCCTGTGATTTGCTCAAAACCTGTCCTGCCACTTTCAGGCCAGACTTCAGTGTTTCCGCAGCAGAAGACAAAGCCTGCACAAAAGAGGCGCCGCATTTAATGTTTAGAGCGACAGGTGCTAGTTGACCGTGGCATTCTGATATATCCATGGATAAGTAAATTCCCCTCTTTCACATCATTATTGGTGTTTTCCAGTCCTCAGCTTTGACGTTTAGATCCACTCTCACTGCTCTAATAGAGATGGTTTTTTTTGGCCTCAGTCGCTGTTTTCGGTGACAAAAAGCTCTAAAAATCTGCATTACATTGCTCACAGAGTTAGCAAATAGCTGGGGAGCATAGTGCAACATTTAAACTAAAGACAGTAATAATATCACACGAGTCAAATTCAAAACATCCAAACAAATTAAAGTAAAATGTAAATTAAATTAAAAATTATTATAAAAATGTGTCTTTTAAGAAGTGAGATGAAATGAGGACGGAGGAGGAAATGATCTCCTCTGGTAGGTTGGTTCAGAGTTCAGGGATCCTGCCAGCAAAGGCCCTGTCTGCTTTGGTTTTTAACCTGGACCTTGGTGAGGCCAGACGTGCACCAGGAGGTCAGACTGCGATCTAGACATTTCCCTCAGGAGTAGAACAGAGCAGAACTAATAGGGAATATCTGACTGGTTGGTGGAGTCAAACATGACTGTTAAAGACTGTTAATGTAGTGGAGTATCTGCTGTGTGTAAGAGCAGATTAATATGAAAAGTTTTCACTGCGTTTTTTTATTTTAATTTTTTTATGTGACCTTGACACAAGTAAAAAATAAACCACCAAAACTTCAGGTAAAGTCCTTTAAGTCTTCCTTTGATATCAGTGTGAGTATTTGATGCAGGTGTCACTCTGTGTGTTACACTACCTATTTCATGGTATAGTGATCCCTGCTTCGCTGCGATGGATTTCCTGGGGCTCGGCATTTCAATCTTCATGAGGTGATCGCAGCACTGCTTCCACTGGCCTGCAACAAATAGTATGAGCAGTTTGTCAGCAATTAATGTACCGTCTGCTTCTGTCTCTCAATGAGCCGTCGAATTGTGAGATTCTCGTTTAACACGTCAAACCACATGCTATACCTTTCCAGGTATTCAAACATAACGCTTGACGACCTCATTATCAGAGTAACTATTTGTGTTTGTCTTGTGCCAGCGTCTTTGAGGACAATTCGCAGCCCCGCAGCTTTAAATCTGACTCAGCCTTGAACTGTTTTTCTCAACTTCGCAAAGGAAAACTGAGCATGAGTGAGCGCTGCACGCAGACAGCTGGACATTTAATGAGCTGGACTCATTTAGTTAAGAATTGATTCAAATTAAGGAAGGACCGTGATGGGAAATGTATTGAGAATAACTGAAGAGAACAAATACAAAGAATTAACCCCCACATAATTTCATAAGACAGTTACTGCACTATTATCAGCTCAATAGATTTGGTGACTTCAGTGAATATAATCAGTTTTAGTGCCATTTTTCCTCTTCTTTGGAGTTTGCAAAGATCATTTCTCTCCAAAGTAAAATGATAAGTGCACAGACAAACATGTATTCACTTACAACAAAAATGATTGCAACAAAATTCAAATGATCCCTGTAAACACTCCCTTATCAAAGGTTTATTTTAATTCACTGAGGCATAAATAAGTTACAATAATAGCCCCGAGGTGCACAGTATTTAATTCATTTTGCATTGGCAGACTAAGAGACACACCCTTGTGGCAGGGACTTGAACAAGTAGAGGAAATTAATGAAAGAAATGCAAACTATCTACCCTCTCTTTGCCTCACTCACTCAGTCAAAAGGCTGGGGAGGGAGGCAACTGCAAGACTTAAAGCTGATTAAATAATTTGTTCCTCACTGATAAGATTAACTGTCAAAGGAAGCATATAGAAGACAATTAGAAAAGTTAACGTATGTGCCTTTTGGATTCACTAACTTTGCTTGTTTAACAACAACAGATCTGAAACCAGTGTCACACTAATTGTTTGTCTGATCAGGAAGTCTGCATGATAGTTACAAGGCATCGGGTGCACGGAGGGAGTATGCATTTATATTCGTTATGTATATGAATAACACTGTCAGAGAGAACTGCAGTATTGAAGGAAATAAATGTGCTTTCTTTAAGCACTGATGAAGATGTGACCCCCTGCTCCCTCTGAGAATTATTCTCATTAACACACCCCTGTAAAAAAATAAATAAACTGACAACAAGTTTTTTAATTCTATACCAAAGTAGTATAGGAGGTCCCTGAGATGTTTGCATATTTAGGAGATGACAAGACTGTGTGATTTAATGTGGCAGGTTGACAATTTCCTCAAGTTATTGTTATCCGTATAAAACTTTGGACACCTAAGACTAATTACCGTTGCACTGGGGCACCTGAGAATATAATGTCTCTTCCTCTGAGCCGATTTCCATAAATATGCACCGTGAGAAACCCCCCTCTAATATTCTCATTCTCGAACTCAACATTTTCCCTCGTCGTTCACCTTTTTACCCTAAATCTTAAAAAGCCATGTCGACGTATCTGTTCCCACGGTGACCTTTTGTTCAATTCAGCCGTGGCCACCAGCCAGGCGGATGATTGCTGCATGGTATTATCTGTGAACAGGCTGATGGTATGTGGTCCAATTAAAAACTATAATGGAGCTAGGGTTCAGGACGAGACATGCCTCAGTAGTGTCATTAATATCTCCGCAACTTAATTGATGTCTTTATCAGTGTTTGGGTTGCACGGTCAACAATCTGACTGTTTTGCATCACTCACATGAGCATCATTTTTGACAGTTGAACGCTACTTGCCCAGCGCCAAACGTCACACCTGTAAAGTTGGCGACAAGCTGGTGAATATAGTGAAGCATTAAACAGCTTAAGAGCCAGATATTTCCTGCAGGAGTTGGTGGAGAGGGTTAAAAGAAAAGTGAGTACTGGAGTCATCAGGTGGAAAGAAACACAACTCCAACTGAACGCTATGTCCATCACTGCTGGATAAATAATTTACCCAACAAGTTCAGCACATCACCTAAAAAAAAAAGTGACAATACATCAGTGTTTTCACAGCTCGTCTCTCTTTCCCTCAAGTGGCCAGAAATAAAAAAAACAACAACATATTGCCTGCCAAGCCCTAATTACTCCTACAGATTGTGTTGTTGCAGTTCCAACAAATACAGTGTTGGGAAGCCAGAGAGGGATTATATCACTTACATGCTGAATAATTTCCTCAATATGCGCAGCTGCGTGTCACAACACCACCGTGATATTTTTGTTGGCTTGTTTTGTTTTTGTCTTTTGAGTTATAATGGGGCGGATTTAGCATTTTTCCACCAAATTTTACTGTTCTGCAACATGTGGTGGGAGAACTTTCATTGAATGAAACTACTGCCACTGTCTGTGTGACTCAAAGCCAACCTGTAACGTTTAGCTTTGTTACAATGTACAAAATTGGGAAACTCTGAAATGTCTGATTGTCATAAGGCGAGGCCGCACAAAATTGCCTTGGGCCGAAATTTCAAGATAACATTCGGGTGTCGTTATAATAAATATTAGGTGTATATACTGCAACACAATGGAGACATCAAAACACAATATCACAATACCATGCCACAAATGTAGGTTAATGTGACTGGAGAGAGAAGGGAGCGGTTGTTAGATACATATTTCTTTCGTTTGACACCCACCTGCAAAAAGATAATTATATTTTGTTCAGAACAGGTAGTACAGACAGTTAAACATGGTCTCATTAAGACATGAGAAAAATAATTTCTCACTATATATAAAATGACATGAAAATGTCCCTGATGGCATGTCATTAAAGAATGCCGTCTTGCGGGTATCAGCAGTTATATTTTGCATATATAGAGACTTGGCTGAGTTCCAGTTAAAGGCACAGAGATAACACTGTTCAGCTTTGTTTTCTCAAGACTTCGACAAATTTAGTTAAGATGTAAAGCATGCAACCGTTCCTGTTGTCATGGAATAGTTAAAGTCTTGTATGATAACTTGGCACAACAGTCAGAAAAGGTCACAATTTGAAACTGCAGTTTGTTGCACTTGCGATAACATCAGACGAGCGTGTGCAGATAAACAAACATGTAGAACAAGACTGCCACTGGAACTTCTTCAGAATTCCAAACAGGCAATTTTGAAGAGTCAACATCACAGTGTTTGATTACGGAAAAGACGATTACGGAGAGCGTTAAGGTGGCCTCATGCTTCGAGTATATTTCTTACGGGATACTGAAGCATCTGGTCAGTCCTGCTGTTTGTGTGAGAAACCACCAGCTTGGGCCGCACGAGAGGATTTACTCGTTAAAGTTGATTAGCTTTGCTTAGCATAAAATCTGGAAAACAGGGAGAAACAGCTAGAGTGTCTCAAAGGTAAAAAAACAAAAAAACAAACAGCCTATATCCTTCAAAGCAGAGTAAGAGTAACTCACACACATTACGTGCCTGACTCAAGCCAAACCAGTTTGTCTAATTTCAAATTCGGTGGAATCAGGGTGCAGGTGTGGACGAAGGTGGACATCCCTGTGTGTGTTTTAATGCAGATGTTGAACAGTACCACCTTAAAACTGTCTTGTAATTACAATAACACATTTGTAAGAACTAGTATGAACCAGTAGTATGAGTGCTTCCTTGTATTAAAAAGGCAGCAGTTATAGTTTTGTAATTATCACTGCTTCTTTGGCCTGAGGCCTAAATTCATACATAATTTCATTGACAGAAAAAATGGGGCAGACAAAACCACCTTGTAATTTTCACTTCAAACCCTGCCCTACTTAAATGTAGTTTAAGGCAGCTGGTACAGAAAAGGAAGGTATATAGTATAAGTGCTCTCGGTCGTTGAGATAACAAACATCTGTGTTGTTCATGCAGGCCTCACTCATGTTAAAGACGTGCTGCCGGAGGGCGTCAGTCCAGCGCTGCGTGTCTTCAGGTATGTGCGTGGCGAGCGTGCAGGCTACATCGTGTCCTGGACACTGTGTGCTGATGTATATACTCCGGGGAGGGGGGAGGGCGTCTCCTTCAAAAGCACGAACGAGGGAATCCTGACAGAAAAACAAACAAACAAACAAACACACACATATGCAAAGTATCAAAGTGAGTGATTGATGTCCCTGTAACACATAGCTGAGACATTATATAATAAAAAACGCTTTGGTTAGCCTAATGAGATATCAACCGCTTACATGTCTATGAACAAGTTCCTCCAACAGATTCCACTGTAGTTTAACAGAAGCTCATAGTGAATCTGCTGCTGATAAAAAAAATAAACAAAACAATCTTTTACAAATAAATAATCTGTGGGAATAGGTTTGAATGTGACCCTACTTCCTTTTTACATTTTAACTGCTTCATATATCATCAGGTCATTTAACAAAATAAAATAAAAAGCGGGATGGTCCTCCTCAACCAACAGAAGGGAGTTTGCGTTGTATGTTATTTATTGTTCACTTGCACATGCACACGCTAAATGCATGATAGCGTGCATGTATGTGTTAGCAAGTTAGCAAGTGCTTAGCATTGTCAGCTGCACCACATGTTCAAAGTGAGCTTGAAAGAACTAGTTTCAAACGCTCCCTACTCAAGACTTTACTCCAGAGAATTGTAATTTTCTGCATTTATGTATAAATTTGTCTTAAAATATCATCGGCTCTTCATCTAAGAGAAAGTAATGAACAAACACAATGTGTATTTAAACTAATAAACGCACAAACTGTTGTGTTGTTCTGGTCCATACTGAATCATTCAAACATTCACTGGTTGGAAAAGTATGCAAACCCCCTCGGCTAATGACATCAACAAAAAAAGCTCTGTAGTAGGAATGGTTTTAAATTCCTCCTGATCACTGCACATGTCTGATCAGCAGCTTTTCCAGTAGCTGCTGATCAGACATGTGCAGTGATCAGGAGGAATTTTCTTTGTTTGAAGCTATTGTTTCCGAAAGTGGCTTGACCAGTTTTGAAATCAAATTTAAGGGTTCACTTAATTTTTCCACCAGCATTGTGAACATTCGATGGGTGTGTTCAATAAAAACAAAAAGATAATAATCATTATTGTGCCATTAACCACAGCACAATTTGATTGACGGTAATTGATCCTATTTTTTGTAACCAATTAATTCAGAACAAACAGTTCAACCCAAAGTGTTCACATGTTTTTACCTTGCCTCTTTAATTACTTTCCTTAATTGTGAGACTAAACGTGAGAAGTAACTAGTGACTATAACTGTAATGGATATCAAACCTTCAAGTAAAACACCAGAAACTGACCTTTAAATACAGCAGTCCACTCAGTGAACTCAGTGACTTTCCTCCATTGTATTTGCACCATTGTTTTGTGTCTATTAAATCTAGAATGATGGTCAAAGAACACCTCAAATGCACCTGAGTATCATTTAGTTTGGGGTTAAATAACTTTTTTGGACTCCTGTATAATACGTCTAACAGAGTGTAACAGAAATGAATCAGGTTTAAAATGCATAAAAAAATCTTCCAATCTTCAGATGTTTCCACCATTACAACAGGTTTCCTCTCCTGGGGAATTTTTCATTAATTTACCTGTGCACTCCGGTGGCCTCGGCATGTTATTGTAATCAACATGGACAAAACCCTAAATGAATCCATCTCTTTATTCATGAGGCTTTGCTTTAGTACCAACCTTTCTGATGGGGACTGCAAGTAATGGCTTGTCCTCAGACTCCAGGTCCTCTTGACTCTGATAGCAGAGAAGACTTCGCCCCCTGAGGACGCCGAAGACGTTTCTCGAGCAATTAAGGTCCTCTCCGAGCTGAATGAGAGCAAGGAGTAAAGTAGTCCTGTGAATGATAATGTGATGAAATCACCACAATATGGGAAAATATATCAAAAATCTAGTCACCTTAACCCTGAGTTGACCACTCATGGCCGGCTGAACCATACACAGAGGTTGAGCAACCAGGCGACAGCACATGTTGCCAAACAGAGGCAACCAGAAGGGACTGTCCTCTGGAAAACAAAAGAGATGAAGCATTAGTTTTCAGGAGGAGAGGAGAGGAGATGAAGGAGACAAAAAGAGGAGAGGAGGAAGACAAATAGGAAAGGAAATAAGAAAAATAGAGGAGAGGAGGAGATGAGATGAGGAGATGAGGAGGGGAAAGAAGAAAAGACAAGAAGAGAAGAGGAGAGGGGACAAAAAAGTAAAAGAGACAAGTAGAGGAGACAAGAAGACAGGTGAGGAAAGGAGAGGATTTGTAACTCACCTGTTGCTGATAGCAACAAATCATGCGTCTTGAAACCTTCCTGCACGTGTTCGATTGTCAGTGTTGTGTGAGCCAGCAGGTTGTACTTTGGCCCCCTTCAGACAGAAAGCATTGGGCAAAATCAATTTGACTGTTTTCTGAGCCATAAAATATTCCCCTTTTATTGTGTGTTTGAGGGAGAACCGTCATCCTCACAGTGTTGACAGATCAGGGCTTAAAGGCGGGGACACACTTCCAGGTCCTACGTTTCCTCCGCTGGAAACGGATCCACAAACAGCTGCTGACTCGAAGGCGGCTCGGATCTTTTTCCCGGAGGAGCATCCAATAGATCCCCCAAGAAGACTCACTCTCCTGGGTCCTAGAGCCCCCGGGGAGAACTCCACGACCGCACAACTGCTGTACAGCTCAACACGAAGCTGAAACCCTGGACCCACCTCATTGCTGTTCTCACACACACACACACACACACACACACACACATACACACACAGAGAGATCTTTAAATTTGGAAAGGACAAAACTGAGTATCTAAAAAAAAAAGAAAAGAGCCTTAAACAGAGATTGACGTACAATATTACAGTGTCTTCAAAACAGATGTCGGTTAAAGTCCTGTCCACCATCACCAGGTCGGTGTCGTAGATCTCTGTGCCACACTGGAGCAGGCAGAACACGGCGCAGCGATGCAGCTCTGCAAGCAAGAAACAAGAGTACAAACTGTAAAAACAAAGACTTTGCATTATGATCAGCGCTATCAAACTTATATTTTCACAGATTTCTTTCTCTTTTTATCAATATTAAACTTAATGGAGACATTTGCATTTATCAGTCCTCTCCCACTCCTCTCACTCACCTCCTTTGTTTTTGAAGTACTCTGAGTCTTTCCACATGAGAGGGATTCGCAGGTCTACAGAGAGCAAAGTCTAGTTAGGAGATATGATATAAATTTGTGGCAAGGTGTTTTTGTTGACACTCACCTGAAAGGGCCACTTTTCCCGCACATGGCACCGTGTCTTCAGACGGCCTGCAGTTAAAGACGTAGGTCATTTACCAACCGTCCATACAGGCAGTACAGTGCAACAGAACACTGATGCAGTCTCAACAAAACTCAACATTTTATCTTTCACAAAGATCATTCAAAAGTAAAGTTTCCACCGTTAGCCTGCGTGTGTAACCTCTGTGTACATGTGTGTAATTTTACCTATAAATTAGAGACACAATAAACCAGGCAGCCCCTCACATCAGAGCAGATATCTGTGTTGAATTAAAGGACTCGACAGTTGAAAAAAGCTTTATCGTCTATCCTGCAGTGGCTGGTAGCAGACAGTATCCACAAACACTTGACTTGCATTTGCTGTTGTTGCTGTGTAACCTCACATCCCTCTCCGCTGCATCTATTATCTATTTACCCATACATACAAAATGCCCTTTGCACTCCAGCTGACCTGCGTCCCACTCTCTGCAGGATTTGAGCTTTCCTCATCCTCTGGAGTTGGCTGAGCAAGGCCAGGATTCGGGCATTGCAGGTTTGCAGGCTCTTCGAGGCCTCCAGGGCCTGTTCTCTCTGGGAACAGGCAGCCAGGAGCTTACTGGCCCCCTCCCGCATTCGCACCTCCCTCTCAATCTGCTGCAGCACCTCTGTGTCCTGCCCAAGATAAGTGTGTGTGTGTGTGTGTGTGTGTGTGGAGGGGGGGGGAGAAAACAACATTATTTTAACCAAAACTGTCAATATTCACATTCTTTTGATCAAACAGAAAGGTGGACATACAGCTCAGGGTTTGGAGGATGGTAGTGAGAATTATTACGATTAATAAATCAGTCAAACTGTCAAAGCTAAGCTAGCAGCGTAGCCCTGGGTCCAGACTGAAATATTTCAACATCCATTGGATCGATTGGCGTCAAAATCTGAACAGACATTCATGTTCCCCATGACGTCTGTACTGACTTTGGTCTTCCCCTGAATTTTCTTTCAGCACCACCACGAGGTTTCCATTTCTGGAAATGTTGTTGACAACTATTGGACAGATTGCCGTGGAATTTAATATAAATATTCATGTTCACCTCAGGAAGAAAAAAAGAAAGAAGTAACCTCGCCCAATTACAGCTGGTGAACGAATACCTGCTAAACTAATTCCCGTCAGCGTCAGCTTTACTTTGTGCTCAGTGCTAATTAGCATGCTAACACGCTAAACTGAGATGGTGAACGTGGTAAACGTCATGCCTGCAGAACATCAGCGTATTAACAACGTTATCATGAGAATGTTAGCATTGTTAGCATTACTAGCACCCGTACAGCCTCTTGGAGTAGCTAGCACGGCTGAAGACCTTAGTTCTAGTAATCTGATGTGTCATAATGTGAGGGAGTGTGATTAGTAATTCTAACTTCCCCTTGCAGCTGATGATATACAGTAATAAACATGACTAACCAATGACATTAGGCGGTGGTCACTATTAATCAGCCTTATAACTTTCAAACACCCTGCTGTTTCTGCTGGCACCAGCTTCAAACACACTGACCCAGGCCTTTCACATGGGAACTCGACCCAGTGTTTACCACTCTGAGTTAAATTAGTGTGTCACATTAATCCCTGGATGGAGTCCAGCTGTCAGACACCAGAGACTTGGTTCGACCACAGAGCAAAGAGATGGTGTTAGCTTTTCTTTGCAGCTATATATTTTCTTATTCTTCAGTGGATGAAAGAAAGAAAGAGCAAGACTGTAAAAAGGGAGCAGCGGGAAAACTATTCCACAGTCCATGTGCAGTGTTTGGAATTTCTTGGTAAGAGGTATTTATTGATAATCCACCTAGTAGCATGTTTCCTAATGAACTTTCCACAAGAGTGTAAAGTTGAGAGGGATGTTGCATTTATTATTTTACTATATGGACACTGTAACGGACATTGTAATGATGATTGAAATCTTTATTTTTGTTGACAAGCTGTAAATAGCTAAAACATTTTAGTACACTGTGGCCCTGTGAATGACTTATACACTTCATATTATGACTTATGACATTAAACGTTCATATGTTGAGCACACCCTCAACATGATGTCATGTAAAAGAAAAAATCTTAAGACTTGTTTCACAATGGACATCATCACAAAGTCTTGTTTGTTGGTCAGTACCAGATATTTCTGAGGTTTACCGTGCACTAAGCCATACAGTACATGTTAGGAGAAGTATAGCTTTAGGGATCAGAGGGTTGTTACATAATTCAGTCGTGTTTTCAGAGCCTAAGCCTTGTTGGTATGTTGTGATTTTGTTATGCACAGTTTCCAAATAATTACATAACTTTTATTTCACTCTACAGACTTAGGAAAGTTAATTTGTTCTCGTTTTTTCTTATAGTGAAAAAAGAATGGTGAAGGAGATTAACTATTGGTTATTTGTTATTAAATATGTTCTATTATTTATAAGATTAGTTTTTCCACAGAAACAGAGTATGCATTTAAATGGATTCTATTAATGAACCACGAGCACCATTAAATATTAACATCCTTTTTTTTTTGTGGACATGAAAAATGAGTTACATTTAAAACTTAGAAAGGTCATGTATCAGACCCGCCTTTAAGCAAAATAAAACATTATAATCATATTTGTCCATACTGAACCACAAATACTTCTGTTAATCAGAAATACAACTGTCACTAACCTGGTTATCATTCATGTTGATTCTCCTCAGCGTCTCAGAGGTCTGCTCCGCTCGCTGTGCAGTCAGCAGGTGCAGTGCAGCGCAGTGAGTGGGCTGACTAATCCTACAGCTGACTACAAGAGTGTTATAGTGGACCTGCAGACAGAGCAGTTAGTTACTCAACAGAGAGATCAAAACAGACTTAAGCCTCACTACAAGAGGTTGCAGCATGAGGGATTAGAGGAGTCTCAAACCTTATAGTCTTTTATTCCGGCAGCTCCATCACCCGCACTTGTGAATGCTTAAAACATACAGTGATTCTCACAAAACACACAGTACTTCAGTTTCTACAGTTTATTAAATAGAAAGTACACAGGAGTGCTTCAAAAATACTTTTACATACAGCAAACAGTAATGTACCATTTTTAGTGACTGAGTCAGAGAGATGTGATTCCACTAATCTGTGAGGTCATGAGTTGCGGTATTGGAGATCGTGTACAGTCATCGTTGTGATAAAGACTGAATCCAGCGGTGGTGGAGCAAAACGTTTTATTCAGATCATGGAGAATTCAAATGTTTTACTTTAAATGAGTAAATGAAACATTTAAGGACACACATGATGTGTTTTTGTTTCAAGTATCAAACATAACAATCTGATCGCTGCATATCTGTACAAGGACATCTTGGTGCGTTCAACTGATCTACACTATATACAATATAACAAAATGTCTAGTTATTTTCCTTGAGTAACCTTTGACTACCTCTGCTCTCAACGGCGTGAATTTTAATAACATATTGATGCAATGTGACTAAATTATATTCCGTATCTGATGTCGTTGTTTTATAAATGAAAAGCCAATTTTAAGACATAATTTTTCCATCAAAAACAAATTAAAAGAAAAATGTTGTTAGAATAAATGATTCAAAATTAGGAGAGAAATTCACAGAAGAGCCATTGAAAAGGTAATATATTTAAATGTATGACTGTGCATGCTGTCGACTAATGTGGTTGTGTTTTTCTTCCTGACACTCATGTTGTGTTAAAACTGAACCAATACGGGAGGAAAAATAAAAAACAAAATCCAGTTTGCAATGTACAATATTTACATAGTCACAGCTGGTTAATAAACAAATTAAGATCTGAGGCTTGAAAAGTGATGGGACTATTGGGAAAAAGCTGCCACCTCCTTCAGTCAAACTAGTGATTGAACAGTGTTTGTTATTAATGTGACAAACACATTTTCACTTTGACAAGCGCTCGTTAAAGTGAAAATGAAAATGTGTTTGTCAGAACAGGAAATTTAGCTTCACTTTATTACAACCGACAACAAAACAAACAAAACAAAACAAAACAAAACAAAAAAACTGCTTTTTTTGTTATAAATTAACCTTTACAGAGAAAACAACGAAAAATTAAGCCACTGGCAGATCTTACTCCACCTCGCTGTGGCTTTTCATCCCTCTTCCACCTCTGTAAAAATGTCAGTTAAGAAGTACTGAGACACACTGGTGGGCTCCTCCTCTGTAGAGCTGCTCTCCACGCAGTAACTTCCCTGGGAAGCTGAAACCTGCAACGAGGAAGAACAAAGGATCAGCTGTAATTAACTCCTTGTGCGTGTGTAAAAACTCTTTTAATTAAGACGACTCTCCTGCCATCGCTGTCGCCTGCATGTCCTCCTTACCTCATCTGTGGACCGGGAAGTGCTAGGAGTCGAGTCTGAGCATAGTCGGTTGTGTTCAGGTGTCAGTTCAATATCCACCTGTGTTAGTGCTAATGAAGTGGTAGAGGGTGAGTGGGTGTCGTCTGGCAGCTGTGTCTGATTGTGTGTGGAAGCGAAATTGTGTGATGTTGAGGCTACAGGTGTCGCTGGAGTAGAGTGTTTTCTCGTTGTGCGAGGAGTTTTGACCTTAGGGCCCCTGGAAGCTGCTTCGCCTGGTGAAGGATCATTTGAAGGGGCAGCGCTGTTCGTGTCCGAGTGGAAAGAAAAGGAAATATTTAGTTTTCTGCCAGGAAGTGGAAAATAAAAAATGATAGTTTTTTTCAGCCATGCTGCATTATCATGTTGTTCATTTCTTGTCTATTGTCACCATGAGGTCACACATTTTATTTTGATAATGAGAATCCCATCAGCCTCTACTGTGCTTCTGCAAATTAGCAAATGTTGCTTGCTAAATCGCTAAACTAAGAGTGAGCATTACCTGCTGACAATCATCAGTCATTGTAAGCATGTTAGCATGCAGATAGCAGTTAGCATTTAAGTACAGCCTCACAAAGCTGCTGGCAAGGCTGGAGACTCCTTAGTTTTGTTTAAAAATGGGTTGATGGCAGTATGATTCAAGATGTTGATAAAAGCACAGACCTTTCAATTATATTTCATTTCTTTTCCTCACCTATTCCCGACGCTGGTCGCCCTTGTCTTTGTAGTACGAGTTTGCACTCCAGAGCTGCGATCCTCAGGGTCCTTCTCACCCGCCGGACCCTCCTTTTTAATGTTACCGCTTCTTTTCTGTGGCTCAGCGTCAACCTCGTCATCTCCTTTTGCGGTTGCATCAGAGGCGTCCGGCTGCGTGGAAGCCCCGGGAAGTTCGGAGTCCCGGTCGGTGTTTGTAGCAAGGCTCTTGCCGGCGTGTTTCTTCCTTGTAGCATTGGGCTTAACCTGCACTTTGGCTGGTTCAAAGAGAGACAGGTGTATGATGAAATAGATTTGTCCAGTTTACTGAGAGTGCATGTGATGAGCATGTGTTTATCCTTGGCATACCTCTTCTTCTAGTTGGTCTCTGCTTGGTGGGGGAGATTTCAGTCTCTTTATCTTTCTCTGCAGTCTCTGGTGATTCAGGTGGCTGACCTGTGGTACTCTCTGTTCCAAAAACACACAAAACCAACATCAACTATGAGTAATACAACATGAACCACTAATTTATATAATGTCTAACATATTAATAATGTAATCACTCTACCATGTGGATCCACTGGATTCTCCGTGATCGAATCCTGGTGTGAGTTAAAAAAAAGAAAAAAAAGAAAATGTGTGACAAATACAGACATTTTATCGCACTGCAGATACAAGTGGTTCCTTACAAATTCACTCACTATATATGCAGCTGGGTCCGGCCCAGCATCTTTTACACCGACGTGACCCACTTCACCACTCTCCTCCGTGCACATGAGCACAGGGACATCAGAGAGAGACCCCTCTCCCGCTGATGCCAAACTCTCTCCGGGAACACTGCTGAGGGGTGAAGGAGGTTGCAGAATCAGATACCAAACAAAATAAGCTCCATGCTCACCTGGATGACTAGCTGATAAAAGGCAGGCACAAACCTGTGGTGCTCTATCGATGCATCTGCTGCAGGGAGATAAGGGAGGGGCTCGGCTGCACTGTCCACCACCTGCCCTGATGAGCAGACTGGGATCTCAGTCAGTGAGAGGATGAAAAACGGTTCGTCTGGATCTGAAGGCACCTGCTCCGACAGCACTGAGGAGCGGGGGACGAGAGAGGTTTTCACCAAATTCATGGCACATATACTGTGTGCAAATAACAGAGCTAATCATCTGATGTATGTTTGACTTACTCTCTGGAAATATGGTGAGACTTGGACGACTTTGGGTCCCGTCTATACTCAATGTTGATGTGCTCTAGGATTGAAAGAAAGAGAGAAAAACATTTCAGGATGAATCCTTGAATGTGGTAAGGGCTTCTTGACCACGATTACACTCCATGCTTGTTCAAAGTTCTGTTAATCAGTGCAATGACTTTGTGTAGTGTTTCGCTGGTACTTTACTGTAGAGCCGTGGTTCCCAACCTTTCTCGTCAGATGCAGCCCCACAGCCCCGTCAGATTAATTCAAGTACCCCTACCCCCATGAAACTACCTGTAATTATTTTAAACTGGATGTCGTTTACAGCTATTAATCATTTAAAAGTGGATGCTGTTAGCCTTCAATAATGCTTTCATGCAATTGTATCAACACATTTATGTAATTACATTTCTACTAATTTCATATTTTCACATAACCACTGTCAACTGCAGAGGCACCCTTTGGAGTACAAGTATCTATACAATATAACATGGATGATACATGATAAAGAAATGTTGTTCTGTGTTATTTAATATATTACCTGAGAGGAATGGTCCTGTGCTTGTGTCACACAACCCAGAGAGGATCCAGCATCATTTCTAGGGGAGTCATGCTGACTCAGTTGTTCAATGATTTCTGTTAAACAGCCAAGCAAGGACCCAGAATCATTTAGAGAGGACTCTTGGCTACTATGTGGTTCAACAGCTCCCTCTACTGGTTCCTGAATGTCAGGTTGGAGCTCACACACAGGTTCGTGAGAAACTGAAGCATGCACATCTTCTGAGTGACTACCAGAATCTGTGCCATTAGTTGAAGAAGAAGAAGAAGAAGAATCATTAGTAGTAGTAATCCTCAAAAATCTGCTCAGCATTCATGGAGATATGGTAACTTTTATTTTAGGGGTGTCAGACCTGCTTCTGCTTGTGTTGTGCTCTGGACTTGTGGAGTTCCACTGCTGCATCCCAGGTTTGGTTTGGGTTTAATAAGCCTGCCTCTGGGAGTTTGAGGGGCTTTTGCATCTGCATCGTTAGCGCTTTAAGAGGGGAAATAAAAAGTTACAAGAGAAACTTCTACTCATAATTCCTTTCAAACATAAGGTTGTAAATAAGACAACAGTATTTACATTGTCAGTTTCCTTTTAGAGGACAAAATGTTGACACAGACTCAGGAAAATATGACTCATGTCTTACCTTTGGGGAGATTGAGATTCGTCGTTTGATGTTTGATTAGTTTCCCTGGTTTCTGAATATTGTTGGGCTGCATCTTGACTTTTTACCTCAGAGTCACTCTCTGAACGTGGCTGAGGGCTGCTTTCTTTTGGATCTGGTATGGAGGAGGCGCCAGCAGCCAATACAGGATTTATTTTTGACTCTGTGGAGCCCTCTTCTGAAGACTGAACGTCTGAAACTGCAGCTGGATCATCTGGTGGTTGGATATTTGACTCTGAAACTCTAGTGGACACATCCCCACGTGAAGAAGGCCCAGCCTCGACCCCGTCATTATTTGACATTTTGTCCCCTGCGGAGTCCCTTTCAAAACTTGACTTCTCACTGCTTTTATTTTCAGGAACGGAGTCTGTCAACACTGACTGATTCTCAGCAACCAAAGATGTTGCCAGAGCATCATCAGAGGTTACATGCGAAGAGGTGTCCGTATATTGTTGTTCAGCGGGTTTACCGATATTCTTTGGCTGCAATTTTGTCTGTGTAGTTCTGGTGGACGATCCTAAATTGGGTTTGACCTTGGGAAAGTGTCGTCTTCTTTGAGGTACAGTTGGTTTTGAACTCTCTGAGCTTGAGTTTAGTCCAACATCCGTCTTTTGTGCCACAGTTGAGGGCGATTCCTCTGCCGGTTTATCAGTCATGCACAATTCCAACGATGGTACTGAAACTGAAGCAGTGTCAGTACTTTGACTTGGTTTTATAGGAAGTGTGATACTGCAAATTGGCTGTTCTTCTACCTCTGCTATTGTACTGTCAGTTGATCCAGACTTTGAAATTGGGCTTGGGGGTCTCTCCACAAGCTGCATATGCGTCACGGGGTCTTTTGTGGTTTGAGGTTTAGACTGTGCAGTTCTTGTTGTTTGTATTAGGTTTGGTTTGGGTTTGACTTTTTGAAATCGTCCTTTCCTAGTCTGGCAAGTAGATGTGACTACACTCTCTGATTTCTGACTGACGGGTAAATCCTCTACAGGTGTAACACATGTAGCAGGTTGATCACTCCTCCATTGGACTGGGGCTGTGTCTTCCTCAACTTGAGATTCTCTGACGGCTGAGTCGGATGTCACCAGGTTATTACTACTCTCAGTCGTTTCACCATGAGCTGTCCCTTTTTCACCTGTCGACTCAGAGGTCGACCCTGTGTCTCTGCTACTGGGTTCAAAAAGGTCTTCAGAAAGGTTCTGGTTTTCTGAGGTGCTCTGATCTGATGTTGCTGTAACAGAGTATACCTGACCAACAAGTCCATCATCTGTCCTACTCTCCTCAGTTGTAGACAGTTCATCTGTGGGTGTAAGAGTAGAGCCCAAGTCAAATGAAGCAGGACCAGTGCTTTGACTTGGGTTTTCAGGAGAGGTCCCACAAGTTGCTTCTGGTTCAACCCCAGGTATTGGTTTGTCAGGGACTTTGGAGATTGGAGTTGGGCTGGAGTCTTTCTCTAAAGGATCTTTTGTGGGTTGAGTTGTCGACCGAGCAGTTCTCGATGTCTTTGGTAGGTTTGGTTTAGGTTTGACTTTTTGCAGCCGACTCCTTCTGGACTGGCATGTAGATGTAGATGCGACTTCACTCTCTGATTTCTGACTGACGGGTAAATCATCTACAGGTGTAACACATGTAGCAGGTTGATCACTGCTCTCTTGGACTGGGACTGAGTCGGATGTCACCAGGTTATTACTACTCTCAGTCGTTTCACCATGAGTTTTACTTTCTTCAAAAAGGTCTTCAGAAAGGTTCTGGTTTTCTGAGGTGCTCTGATCTGATGTTGCTGTAACAAAGTATACCTGACCAACAAGTCCATCATCTGTCCTTCCCCCCTCAGTTGTAGACAGTTCTTCTGTGGGTGTAAGAGTAGAGCCCAAATCAAAGGATGGAGGACCAGTGCTTTGACTTGGGTTTTCAAGAGAGGTGCCACAAGTTGCTTCCAGTTCAACCCCTGTAATTGGTTTGTCATGGACTTTGGAGATTGGAGTTGGGTTGGCGTCTCTGCATTGACTCTGGTTTTCTGAGGCGCTCTGATCTGATGTTGTTGCACCTGACTCTACCTGACTGACGGTGTCACCTATTAACAACGTTGGAGAATACTCTGGTATCTTAGGGGCTGTTTCTTCAGGAGCTGATAGGGAGTCAGTGACTTGAATATCGGCTCCTTCTGTATTGCTGTCTTCAGCTATCTGTGCTGTTGATGTGTCTGGTGGGGATTTGGCTTGTGCGGTCCTTGAGGCTCGTCCAAGGTTAGGTTTAGGTTTCACCTTAGATAAGCGTCCTCTCCTCGTCTGTGGAGAATCTTTCTTTGAGCTCTCCGGACCTGACTGTAATTGAGGACTAGGGTCCATATCAGAAACAGTGCTCTGCGCGACACATATCTGATCACTGGTTTTAATAGTGGAAAAATCATCCCCGTCTGTTGTGCTGTATTGTGGATCCACAGTAGCAACAGTCTCTGGTGTTTCTGTGACTCCATGACCAGACATAAGAGGAGTGGCACTGTTTTCCTCTTGCAGTGCAGCGGGCTTTGGTGCAGTTTCTTCTTCTAGGTGTTGTGTGGTTTCTATCACACTGACTGATGTTGTCCCTGCAATTTAACACAATGGCACATTTTAAAATTAGCATAATTTAATCTAAAACAAATGTCAAAGAAGAACCAGAGAAATCTTGTTGCGTCTGTGTCTCTAACCTGTTATGTGATCTTGTGTGTCTAGTTGATTCTGTACTGACTGAGGCAGGTGAGTCAGGTTGCCAATGGTCAACAGGGTTTGAGCAGCCTCATTGTAGCTCTCGTCCTCTGATACTGAAACAAACATACCACCCAAAAAAATGTATATTTAAATGAAATAAAAATCTCAAAATATAAGTAATCCACTGCAGCTGCTCAGATGGCCTCTCCGACATACCTTCTGTGTGTTCTGAAGAAAGGAAGTCTATAACATCCTGCAAAGGGAAACAAATATATTTTAAGTAAAGGCTTCACATATAAACCAGAAGTTGTGAAAAGATGCAATGTACATGGAAAACATATATTGCAATAGTCCAAGTTGCATTTCAGCTGATTACATCTGAACACACAGCCCCAGCTCAGTAAAATATGAAATACCAAGGCTGCGTGCATCATTGTTCAAACTCAAATTTGTTGTTTTTTCTTTAATCAAAAACTGCAAAAACTAAACTGAGCTGGGAATGATCCAACCACAAACAAAACACATGCACAAAAACTGAAAAGAGGGAGACATCGTAAGAGAAGAATAAGATTATAAGATTTTATCAATGTAGATAAAACAATACAGATCAGAGCTTTAAGATTAGATCTCAGAAATAATATCAAAATGTAACTGTAATTTAATTTCACTGGTACTAAATTTTAGACATAGGACACTTACAACCAGCAGGTCCAATTGATGTTCACATGGTTCAGTTGTGCCTGTCTCATTTTGTGCCCGCTCGCAAGAGGCATCGGGGCAAAGTGCATCTTGGGAGATGCCCAACACATCAGGCATATTGGCCAAGATATCAAGCTACACGGGTGGGATGGAGGGGGGAGTCAGAATGGAGGGTGGGAATTATGGATTGCAAAAACCATGCAACAAAGAAAAAAACGAATGCAAGAAAACGCATGTTATAAGAATTATGTGAAAAAATTAAAATAAAATCAATGGATGTTGTGCATCTGTGCAAGACATGATGTTTCTCATACCTCCTCCATAGTCTCTTCCACCTCTGAAATCACAGGCTGTGGGGAGCGCAGGCTGGCAGGCACGAACACAGGGGCAATGCTGTCTTTACTGGGGCTACATGCAGGCTGCTCCTCCTCCTCCTCCTCAATCTCTTCATGATCTCGCTGCTTTTCATCCTCGTCATCACTGTAATCTAACCGAGTGGCCCTGAGGGTCACTAGTTTGGGCTTTTTGGACTCTTGGGTTGATTTTTGTTTTGATGATCTTCCCCTCTTGGCTGAGCATTTGGGTTTAGGCTTGGCAGCAGAAGCAGTGGATCCCTCTGGTGAGCTGGGAGTGGGGTCAGTTGCAGAGGTGTGTGCATCTTCTTTGGCGGGGTAATTCAAGGGATTGATGGGTTTGGGCACTCTCCCATACCTACACAACACAATCACACAATAATGAGCCACTCATATCTTATTATATCATATCAAGTGTTATATATATTATAAAGTCGTTTCTTTGGGAACTGGGAATGGGAATGTTTCCGGTTAAAAATGTAAAAATGGGAGTCTTTCAATGAAGACATGAAATATTTTGTACCTGGTAGGTCTCGGATGTTGGACAGCGGCATCCTCTTCTTCAGAGGAAATGTCAGCATTGGCTGACTTCCTCTTATTGGCTTGTCTTGACGGTGATGAATCTTTATTCTCCTAAAAAGGTTTGCATAACTTTTAGTAAGGTCAAATAACAATGTGTAGAAAGATCTGTTGACTCTGAAATAATAACCTGTTCTTTTGAGGCTCCATCGCTCACACTCTCGTCCCCTTTATCTGATGCAGTGTCTTTGGCCTTTGTGGAGGGTGGTGGGGCCTTTTTACCCCACTTCCTGCCCAAAGGCAGCAGTGGCTTTGGTGCTCTGCCTCGTGAGAGTTTAGCTGGCTTGATTGCGGTGTCCTTGGATGCATCCACACTGTCAGTCTTTTCAGACCTGATAATTAGGTAAAAACAGAGTATTTTAATTCCAACTTAAGATGCATAAATGTGCTTCCTTTACTTAAAACAACATTTTGAAAGGTTCATTACATGTCTGGACTTGTACGGTCTTCGGGGAGCGCTGCCTCAGTGTTCTCAGGTGTGCAGGCCTCACCTGAGCATAAAAGACACAACATTAAGCTGCAAACAGCAATCAACAAGGGCAGAGCACACATGCAGAAACAGGGGTAACTCTTTTAAACCAGTTATTATTATATATTGGCTGAATCTACCAAGGTTTCTAAGAATCAAGAACATTCTCATGAAGTAACGTACCTTGTTCACTGCTCTGTTCACCTGTTTTCTTTTTCTTCTCTTTTGGCTCCTCGTTCATGGCAGCCTGTTTAGTCTTTCTTTTGCGTTGCCTCTTAGGCTTAGCAACAGGGGTTCCTCCTTCATTACAGAGATCCTCGTTCTCTTTCTCTCCCTCCTCCTCATCCTCCAAGTCAGGGACTTCATTCTCATCTTCCTCATCTTCCTCCTCCACATCACTCAGTTTCTTTGCAGCTTTTTTACCTGCGGAAGGAACGAGAACACACACAAAGTTTTCTGAATCGAGACAAACTCGGACAGTAAGTTATGAAGAAGTAATACAACTCACTGAGTATTAGACTTGATAAAAACATGGAAAGATAGTCACCCTTTGCCTTTCTCTTGTGCTTCTTGGGAGAGTTCTTCTCAGTGAGTTTCTTCAGTTTCTTCCTGTTTTTCTGAAACTCCAGAACTTTTTCTAGCAACTTAGAAAAATACTCTATGTCCAGCTTGCGCCTCTCTCCTACAAAACGATCGGTAGTAAGTAGATGTTACATCAAAATACACACAATACACAATTTAATGTCATATCTAACTAATTAAACAAAGTCCTAATAAATACTTACTGAAAGCTTTATCAATCCTCCAGGCGTTCTCTCGTTCTTCTTTTTTGAATTTGTTCTGGAAGTTTAAATCAGTGAAATTAACACAAACAGATATTTTTTTTATATACAGTATATATCTACTGAGCAGTGAGATGATTCTTCATTCTCACACATACATGAATATATGTACGTATATCTGTCGTCACCACTGACCTTTATCTCTGATCGAGCTCTGTGAGGAAACAGTTGACAAATCATGGAAAAGTCTGTCCCCACCATACTAACTGCCAGGAAGAACATGTCTGTCTCTGATAAAACCAGAAAAAAACAAATATATACAGGAAGGCATCAGAGCAAAATGTGTGTTGTAAAGATATTGTAATTCAGGGTGTATGTTAACTCACCTTCACTGGACCAGGGTTTTGAATAGGTCCCTTTCCTGAAGCTCGAGTAAGTTGTAGTGGACCCACGCTCAAAGATAGGGTCTCGATCCTTTGCTGGGTTTGGTCCTTTCGCCCGCTGGACTTCCACCGTCAAGCTGAAGTAGAAAGGATATATGAAACTACCAATAATGTCCAACATCACAATAAGGTAGCAATGTTCATATTCATCCCATCTCTGGAGGACAGTATGGATGCATTTGGAGACATTTTTAGTCAGCATATATAATAGACAATAATCGAGCGAAGGGAAGCAGATAAACATGACAGAAAGCATTTTGTGGCCTATAAAAGTCCGCTGACCTCTCTTCATCAATGATCAGTGAGCCATCCTCTGCTACTTTGACCTGGGGAACCATGAGCGATTCATCCTGGTCCTCCTCCTCTGCCACCTCCTCTTCCTCCTCCCCCCTCGGGCTCGCCACTTTAGGGAGGTCTTCGGGTTCCTGCGCTCTCTCCGGAGACCTGCAGGGATTGCATTGCAAACATCAGGCAGAAAGGAAAGGGTTTAGTGTGCAAGCACTACGGGTATAAATAGGGAAAGTCAAAATGAAGCTAATACTGTATGTATCATTATGTACAATATCAATAAAGCTTTAAATGAAAGAGATTGTAAAATGATGATGGAATAAACTTACTCTTCTCTTACTGGTGAAGGTGGAACCACAGTCTCATTCTCCTGAACCGACTCCTCTAAACTAGATCTGGAAAAATGGCAAATTACAGTCACGTAAGAAAAAGAACCACAACAAAAAAATAAAAATAAATTCTTGTCAAATAAGACCGGGGAGAAATCAATAGAAAACCTTATCTGTGGGAGGTAAGGGTTAAATGTTACACAAGCTTGACAAAATTGCTGACGACACACTTACGTCATGGGGTTGGACAGTGGCAGGTAACGGATAAGGTCCCTCATGGTCATTTTGGCAGGATCTAAAGTATATTCCTTTGGACGTGTCTTAGCTTTCTTGAGTTTCTACAACATCAAATTATACCACTCCTTTAATTGAATGAATCAAAAATATATATATCTAATAGTATACATCTAATCAATATGTTAATAAACTTAGAAAGCAGTGAGAGTGAGGATAAGTATGCTCGCAGAATAATCTGAACTCACCTTTTCTTTGTGTCTCTCCTGTTTGAGCAACTCTCTGAGCTTTTGGGCCTTCGCCAGTCTCTGTAAGTCAGACGGGTCATTCAGGAGTCTACTCAAGGAGAACGCCGATGGTGACAGTGAAAGTCCACTCTTTAATGACACAAGAGTCTTGGCCTTCTCCGATATTTCAACAGCTTCTTTGTCTGGTAGAGAGGGGGGTACTTTGTCTGGTGGTCTGGCAGGAACGTCTTTTCCTCGACTGCCTGACTTGCTTTCTACTTGTTTGCCGCTGTCTGTTGGCAGGTTGGTTTGTTCTGGTGATTCCTCAGCCTGAGGGACAGCTGAAGGTCCTGGGGAGTCGGACGATATCGGGGTGGGTGGAGGTTGCACTTTGGGCTGCTTACTCTCTCCTGAAGGCCTTCGTCGTTTGGGGGACTGGAGTCCTTGAGGGGCTGCTGCAGCACCAGTTTGGCTGGATGTTGTTGGCTTATCAAGGTCTGAGACGGGGACTTCAACGGGAGTTTCAGAGACCGCCTTGACAGGAGACTTTGGTGTCCGAGAAAGGGCGGAGGTGCGCCCTGGGGCCACTTTGGGCTTGACAGAAAACCGCTTCCTTCTCTGGACTGCAGCTGAGGAGCTGGTACCTTCCCCGTTTTGGTCATTGCCATCTCTAAAAACAGTAGCAAGAGTAGAAAGAATAGTTGTTTTTTGTCATGCATAACATAAGTAGTAGTTTAAAAGCTGTTTAATTACTCACCCAGGGGCTGTAGGTTTTTCTGATGGAGTCACAACAGTCTTGGTATCTGTCACAGCAGGAGGCGTGCTGCTCTCACTGACATCTCTGGGTGTCTCACTGGTCTCCTGATTTGCTGGAGAGGCTTCCTGAGCTGCTGCTGCTGCTGCTGCTGCTGCTGCTGCTGCTGCTGTTCTCCCTGCCGTACTGACATTGGGCCGAAAACTAAATCTTGATCGACGAAACATTTTGCCCTGAAAAAATACGGGAAGTCAAAGCTGCATCAATATTCCAACAGTAGAATCTGATCCTATCAAGTATCACTGCTCATTACTAAACAATCAAATGTTTATTGTGAAATATTGAGGTTAGGGTTTGGTGTCTTAAATAAAAACAAACTTAACTGCAGTTAATAAAGTAATGAAAACCGATGGCCTGAAGTGCTCTTGACTACATCATACACGCTTACAGTTTTAAAGGATATTCTAATAAAAGAATGAAAATAATCCTCTGCATTACAAATACTGACATCTGCATTTTTTGGTTGCTTTTTGTATTATCTAAAAGAAAAGAACAAATGCAGTCTCTGGATGAGAATTAATTACAGATATTTACAGGCTTTTAAAAATAATGCCATGAATACTTTAAAGTGTGGTAAAGAAAAACAAAAACAGAATCTAGTCATGGAGTTGATAATAATAATAATAATAATAATAATAATAATTGACAGGTAGGGGTGGTCCAAACATCTTGGAGAATTAGTCAGTTATTCTGTGCATTTAAATTGTAGGCATGTAATCCCAGACTGACCCCATGATACTGACATCAGCGCTCCTCAAGACTATGGATGTATGTATAGATAGATAGATAGATAGATAGATAGATAGATAGATAGATAGATAGATAGATAGATATGTATAGATATTTGGGGTTGTTTGCATGCTGCAGAATGAATCCCTGGTGCTATAAGAATCTAAACATCCCAAGCACAGTACTGTAACTCCTGATACAGATATTAAGGGTCTTGAAAACACACCTAGGGAGATTTTCTAACCCCAACCTGTGTTGTTATTGTTGGACAGGTGGATGATAAAGCACCAACATTTATAGCAGGAATACGTTAATTTGTGTAACGTGCTATTGTGCACACCTCAGCAAGTGGTGGGACTGACAGGACCGGTCGCGCTGACAGCCGGGAAGCCGTTAAGTCTGACCGTGAAACAAAAAACACAAGGAAATGTCGCCGGAAGTTTAACAACACAAAGACACGTTATTCAAACGAGTGCAAGACGCAGAGAAAAACGCCCCATGACACTAATGCAAGTCGAGAAGTACTCAAACACAACCACCAAACTCGCATGACACGACTTGGGCAATGCGAGTCGTCCAGAGTTGGAAACGTCCTGTTGTTAATGTTGAGAAGCTGAAGCGGCTTCCGTTGTCGTTACGTTGCGTCTACGTGTGTTGTTTCTCTTGCAAAAACGTACCTGTTCAAGAATGTGTCGCCTGCTTGGAGAAACGAGCTTCCATTTATCGACGACGAGTGATAAATAGCGGACTCCATGCAACCATTAGTCCGCCATGTTTTTTTTTTTTTTTTTTTTTTTTTTTTTTTTGGTGACGCGTTATTTTCGTGAGAGTGAAAGGGCTCATGGGAAATGTAGTCAGGTTGCAGCAAAGCGCTAGATGAGGCAAGATCACGCAGTGAATAGGTAAGACTGGTCCTTAATTTCTCGAGGAATCTGAGCATTACCCCGGATGCTTTCCTAAAAGCCCCGAATCTTATATGAAGTTTATTATAACATTATTTATAACTTCAGCTTGGTGTCATTAGTACTGTATTGGGGAATTAACCATTTATATTATCATTTACTTTTGGCAAGCTGGGCTAGCCATAAGGGGAAATGAGGGTATGGAGGTAGATCTGTAAATATAAAACACCTTCTACAAAATACGAAAAATACATTTGTAAACTCTCAAAAATGTTTTGCAAATATAAAACGGATCTACAAATAAATTTCACGAGTAAAAACTAATCTGTGAATACATTTGTAAATTAATTTACAAATAAATGAAAAGCATTAGTGAGTATCTTCCCTAATATTTACAACTTTGAAACAAACATCTTTGAATCAATTAATTTTTTTCTCTACGCTTTTGGATTTGCAGTTTTCAGACAAACCTCCTGCCCGTCTGAACAAAATTCGTCCGTCCAAATATTCACCAGTTTATTCTGGGGAGGCAGAAGCAGTCAGCAGGACATTTCCCGGGACAGATGAGATGGAGCTGAGAGAGTGAAGAAAAGAGGAGGGAATGAGAACAGATGATCAGGAGTAGATCAAATAAAATACTGTCTGATAATATTACAGTACATGTCCTTGTTGTTTATCCTATGATGCTATTCTTTAAAGAAATTTAATATCATTAGAGTAAATGTTCTTCTATAATATTCAGTTCAGAGTCGTGAAGATGTTTACTTGGCCTTGTTGTGGATCCATGTCTGCTCAGTTAGAGCAGCAAATATTATTATGGCCTGGATTTAAATGTAGATGTTGTCTTCTAAATATTAAATCTGCAAACTCTCCTCCAGCATAGTGTGACAAAAATAGGTGTCAAGATTAGTGATGCTGTTTATGACAAAATCATTCTCCACCTATGTCATGTAAATTCAACTCATCTGCTCCTTCACATTGTTTTAAAGTGTGTATCAGTCATGAGCCGCTGCCCCGGTGACAAGGAAGTGACGTCCTAACTGGAGACCCGCCTTGATGAGAGGTCTGACAGTTTGCGTTTTCATTTTCAGGTTGACCCCAAAATAGCTTGGTGACATGTAAGTGAAAATGCAATAGATATTTTTTGTAAATTGCATTTAAATAGTCCATTGTAGACCAGGTTCAGAGTTGGAAAATGAAATGTCAAATGCAGTTTTCATTCTCAAATTGTTGAAAAAAAAAGAAGCAGCATTTTCATTTTCATTGTGACCTGAATATTGCTTGCCTATTTGCAAAATTAGGTTAAATTACAATTCATTTTTTCGTCCTAGATTGCCCATACAAGTATATGAAAATTAAAATGCAAATTGGTTTAATGCATTTTAATTTTTACTTAAATAACACACACATATGTGGAATTACATTATCATTTGAATATTGTCCCTTATAGGCTTCCATAGTACTTAAGTACACTTTAGAACTATTCAATTTAATTAATTTAATTTAGATTTACATTTAACATTTACTTTTAGATTTAACATTATTACATATTCACTGTTAACAATTACATATAACATCAGCTATCTCAAATGAGAGGAAAGTGAGCTAAATATTGCATACATTTCCCTATAGGGCATGTGTTTCGTCTGTATTCAGGATGAAAGAGGGGAACTTGCAGGACAGTGTCTGTGATTTGGTGATTTGTTTCCTGGCACTAACGAGCTGGTGGCTGAACACTCAGGCTGGCAGGGTGACACTCGCTTGTAGCGGCTGTAGGAGCTGCCGCTTTTTCAAAACGTCAAGCTCGAGCGAATTTGAAATGACATTTCAATTCATCCGAAAGAATTTGAATTCCCACCCAGATCCTCACCATTTAAATGAATGACATTATTTAGACATTTTCTTTTCTTTTTTTTAATCATTATTTTCATTCAATTTGTGTTCCAAGCAGGCAAGGAAAACTCTTTAAGATTGTTTAAACTTTGAAACAGGTGAAACTAGAAGGAATCTTGTGAAGGACCACACAAGAGGAGCCACTTCCTGGACTGAAAGGTGTCAGATGGGAAGCACTGCGTAGTTGACATGCCCAGACCATCTGAAGAGGGATAATAATTCCTAATGGTATAATTAATTAAATCATTTTTTGTTAAAATCAGCAGGCAAGAGAACTTAACAACTTAATAAACTAACTTTAAGACTTTTTTGTAATTTTGAGGAAATAGGATTAAATGCCTTATTAAGGCTTTAACACCTGCAGATACTCTGATTATTGTATATTTGAAAGTGCTGAGCCAAATTAGGGACCTTATATACAGTATAATACAATTTTAAACAGCAATCACTTATGTTATATGTGTTTGGTAGTTTCATGTAAAATCACCTGGGTGTCATTGTTAGAAATTCATTTATCAGGATTTAAAAAAATCTGTTTATTAAAAAAACAACAGTGAAATCAGCCCTTCCATGAAACCTGATTTATTGTCACACTATGACACTTCAACTACAGCTTTAATTTGTCATTAATTTCATTAAAATTAATAACAAATACATAAATTACACCTATCAGCTTCCAGCATTTATATTTATATATATATATATGTATAAAAAAGAAACAAAATCCCAAGAAGTCCAATGGTTTCCATGCCTGCTGTTCCCCAATGCTGCTACAAGCTGATGCTACAGTCCTGTGCAGTGACAGAGATGAGTGGAGCCTCTTTTCTCTGCTCAGTCCCTCCTTCATCTTGGGCAGATGTTGTGGTCAGTGACGAGTTTCTCCATCCTCTTTATCTTGCGTTTGTTCTTGGGCATGGGTTTGTCGTACATGCCGTTCTTCAGTAGATGCTCCTTGCTGTGATGAATCTGAGCACCGTGCTGCAGCTGGAAGGAGCACAGGGCTTTCAGGGGCCTGAGCAGAACCTGGACGAACAAAAGAAGAAGAAGGAGGGATGAAAAATACAAGAAATGTATTTATTTTCCATGGCAACCTCTGTGAGCCAGCAGATTCAGTTACAATAAGTATTTCATAATATGGATTTACCTTGCCCGAGACTTCTCACATTTTTAAGTCTTCTCCAGTATCAAAATAGTCCACCATTTAATCCGTGTGTTCAGTGCAAACAGGAACTTCTAATAGCTAATTCTGTATATTTTCACTGGTGCCAACTAGCCAAAATGTAAACAAATACAGGCCAAAAATAACAGGGCTCATGTTGAGTCTGACAATGGTACAGTAATACAATGCTAAATCAATAGCTTGTTCCCAGCCTCAAGGGATCACATAACAAATCTCAGGGACTGCTGTGATTATGTGGTATGTGTTTTAATCATTTGTCTACCGGGGCGCCCTCAAATCAGAAACCCCTCTAGTCCAATTAAACACCACTGTAATCAACAATAAACATATAGCTAAATCAATACATCTCTGTCAGTGTCAATGAAAAACTGTTCATTATCATCTTTGTAAAGGCAGAACTTACAGTTGAGCTCATGTATTGGATTCCATTAGATTTTAGAGGTGTACCTAACAAAGTGGACACTGGCTGTATAAGTAATTCTATGTTCACTGTACAATCTGTGGGACAAACAAAAGCATGCGAGACACACACTCTCATACAACGATCGTAACTGTTTCACCACATCACCTCTTGGATGTCGTCATTCTGCTCCAGGATGGACAGAGCGACAGCAGCACATTCCAGCGTGGACAGACAGATGTTGGAGGGCTGTGTGCGGATCACGTACTGACTGGACAGAGTCCTATTGAGCTGCACCTGGTCAACCAAAGCAGAAATCAGCAATAATGTAAGTGTGGTTTTCCCCACTCTGTTGGCAATGGCTTTTATGGATTTAAAGTTATAACCTATGCTATCAGACTCATTGTTTACTGTTCCCTCTCCACCGCTAATGCAGACAGAACATCTCCTGCTGCTGCTGCTGATGCTTCACATAAGAAGTCATTGCATGTGAGGCCACCAACAGCTATGTTTGTGCCATCACAATCTGCCGTTTTTGTCAGAGGCTCCATGTCCAACATTAGGTCTCTTCAACAAATAGTGTTTCACACTACCAAATCTCTGAGCTACAAACATTGAGTCTGCCCTAAAACAAAAGCCAGAAGCAATGTGAATCATCTCGGAGCATAAAATCCAAGATGTCAGTCCCCTCAGCCACTGAAGCTCTGACTGGCGTTCTCATCAAATGGTCCAACGAGACACCACACATTTCTCTGGAGGCTCAGGATGCAGCGTCTCATATTATAATTTACTGAGATATCATGTTGTTCACAGGAGAAAAAACAAAACTTCCCATTCGTTTCACCTCTAACCTCATCCTCTTGATTATGACAACACGGTCAGACACACCTGTTTAGGGAGGTGGAACATGCTGTTTTTGAGGAACATGTTTTTAGCCTGGCTCCAGGTGCCGTCTATGATGATGACATTATGTTTTACAGTTCCTACTTCCTGGTATTTCACCAACTCCTCCAGGTTCTGGGAATTGGGGCCTGGGTACAAGATGAGCGTCCTGCTGTCCCGACACACCGCAGCCAGCTCTGGGTGCCTGATTGGAGAGGAGACGGAGATAAATAAACTAAATATATATGAGGATTTAGTAACAGTGATGTTGTGATATTAAGAAATCAGCAAATTAACAAAAAGAAAATACTCCTTACTTTTCCTCGTTGAATCTCCTTCCAATTATGACATTGCATTTTCCTTGTGGCAAACAAGCAGCGAGTAGAGGCACTGTGCGAAGTACTCTGCTCTCCTGAAAGCACAACAGGGGTTTGAGAAGTTGATTACAACCACAAGTCTCTCATGAAGATGCGCTAGTGACTGTAATCAGCTGGCATGTTTGATTAACTGTGCATACAATAGAGTCTACACAGGAAGGGCAAATTAAATGTTTATTTTTGAAGTGAAAACAACAAACATATTAAAATGAACTTTTCTTCAAGTCTTCATGCACAGTCACTTTTACTTCATGAACTTAAAAAAATAGAAAATAAATAAAACAGTAATTGTGACGTACTTTCAATACATCTTGTTGACAATACTTGCAGCCTTGTAATAGAATAATACTACCCCCAGGTTTCTGTGTCTTCATTACTTTAGAACGACGAGCTCACGGTCCCTCTACAAGATTTTGTGATTTAGGCTGATGAAACAAAACACAAATCTTGCCTAGGACAAGTGTAAATTTAAATTTTTCAAGTATCTACAAGACCAGGACCATAAGAATGGAGGACTGTCAAAGTTGCTATCATACTTCAAGTAGTGCAAATTTCTTTTTCAACAGTTTACACACCTAACAATCATATTGATTAATAAGGAAAGTTATCTTCAGAGATACTGATAAATGAAAACAAATGTTGGTTGCAACCTTACGATACTCCTTGTGATGTACTAATACAATCTGACCCATGTGTTTCTGTGTGTTCGTTACATAACACACAGAATGTACACACATTATAACAAATACACACAGAATAGCCTAACACAATGACGATCTTAAAACTAGAATTTCACACACAAGACCAGAACCACAAGACATGAAGAATGGAGGACTTTCATGGTTGATATTGTACTTCAAGTGGTGCAAATTTCAAACTAACCTGTAGTTAATCAAATCATGTAGACCCAAATGAAATGGGAGTAAGTCTGGGGCTTTGGGGGTGTTTCAACACTGTGATATTGCGACTTTTACTACAAAAAAAAGAGTCTGAAATCTTCCTCCACCGGTGGTATTAAGCACGTACGACCATTTTTTTTAAACCTCTAATAACTCACCTCTGCGGGATGCTGCACTACGTACAGACATGTGGAGACCTCCAGGGGTTGTGGTGGAAGAAAAGGACAGAGACACACCTTCTGAGGGCGACTACATGGGAGGAAAGTTGAAGACGTGAAGCTGTGATATCCCCGTTACTTCCCAGCCTATAGCCCCCTCTCTGTTTCAGCTGGCGTTGAGCTTTTCTGTAACGACATAAACCTGTTTCCCTCATTAAAGCACGCCAAGTTATTAGAAGAGCATCAAGGAAAGGAGGCAGCACTCTAAGTCGGCTAGCTATGTAGCATTAGCTTCACTTTAATTCAGCTCACCGGCACCGTAAACACGTCGGTCTTCTCTCGCCGACCTCGACCGGGAGGGCGGCCAGGTCTCCAAAAGCGTCGACGAGTCCGTCTTCCATGGAGGAGCTGTCGCAGGTTTCTGGTCCGTTTTCTTCAGGAGCGACTGAGGAGCAAAAACCGGGGACATTGTCCATTGCGGAGTTAGCAGAAGGCTAACTTATCCAAGTACCTCTAACACAGCGCCAACCAGGAAGTGCTGACACAGATATAGACCAACTAGAGCGGCTTCTTCTTCTTCTTCTTCTTCTTCTTCTTCTTCTGCTTCTTCTTCTTCTTTGGGGTTTAACGGCAGTTGGCCTCCATTATGTTGCATTACTCCCTTACTAGACAGGCTGAGAACCACAAATTGCAAATAATTAGGGTTCAGAACCCTTATATTGTATTACTTTAAGACTTAACTCAAATCTGTTTGAGCTGGAATGAGCTACAAACATGAAACTTGGCCCAATAACTAGTAAATGATGTGTGCACACTTCCCAAGAAATATGAGCCCGATCGGCCACACAGTGTCGCTGTAATTAAGGCCCCAAAATGCAATTTTGTAGTCCTGTTGTCCCTATCTAATTTGAAATAATAGCACTTGAGTGAATGTGATTTCTAAAATTGCACTAATGCTTAATTTAGTTGGGGACAATTCATGGAAATACATATGTATATCAGCTGGGTCAACTGGCATATCCAATCTATTGAGTGTATTTCTAAGTCCTTGAGACTCGTTTTGGTGAGTTGCTGGTAAGTTATCAACTCACAGCTGCCACCTGTTGATGTGGAGGATAGAAGGTGTTTTCAAAAGGTTAGAAAATATGGACATGCACACACACACACACACACACACACACACACACACACACACACACACACACACACACACATATATATATATATATATATGTGTGTGTGTGTGTGTGTGTACCACTAGGTGTCGCCAAAGTCCATTAAAAAGATAACAGAGGTTCAGTGAGGGGAACACAGGTAACAAAAGCCCTAAAACGTAGCTTATTACTTTGCCAAAACAAAATACCACTCTGCACTACACCTTTTACTTCTGTCTTATTTACAAAATGTTTGTGCATGTGTGTTTTAATATCTGTGAGTGTGTTTTCAGTCTTCAAGGTCACCCTCTGGATTCAGGCCTGGAAGCAGCAATATCTGAAAATAATCCTTGACATAAACCCGCGTTATTGACCACAAACATTGCAGTGTCCAGCCTGTTAAAAGTCCCCACTCAAAAACTCTGAGAAACTGGACTTTTCTGTGATGTAGGAGACATCTTGTGTCCAGCAGTAAAACTTTGATTTGAAAAAGACAAATATTTAACTACAGTTCCTATTGATTGAGTGGAAAACATCTATTCCAGATCATGATCCAGTATTTGTGCTTGATATTTGGTGTTGATAATGTGGAAACAGGTACACACAGTTAAAATATTTGTTTAATTTTGCATACATAACAGTCATGGTAATCTTTGGATTAAACAAATGTACTTATTTAAGTAGCCTATAGGTAATCAATCAGAAATAAAAGTGCACATTTGTGTGAATTATCACAATTTTTTTTGACTGTTTACAAGTAGGTACATAGTACATAGTACACAGACTTCTAGTTGGGTCGAGGTGTCAGGTTAACAGCAAGAGAGGCTTATTTATAGCTTAACGTCACACAAACACATGCACTCTCCCCCCTTTTATTCACACTCATAACCCAAACCTCTCCCTTCAAACACACCATGATTCATGCATTATTACCACCTGTCTAAACTGAGGAGACAGATGAACATATCATCCTCTGGATATTTCACTAGTTCATAATATTTTCATTATCAACTAATCTGCCAATTATATTATGATTAACATTAGAAAAATGTCCAGCTGTTTTGTTTTTCAGAAACCAAAAGTCCAAAAAAAAACCCCAAATATTCAGTTTACGATGATAAATGACAAAGAAAAGCAACAAATATCCTTTGACAGGCTGACATTTGCAAATATTTGGCAGCTCTAGATAAGTGTGGTTGTCTGTTTTGGATAAGACATTGAATATTGAATTCATGCAGCATGAGTACAACAGGGTTCAAATGATAAAAACTAGACTGAGACATAAATCTATATTTTACAGTCTTCTTATTGGAAGTTTTAAGACTTAACCTCAGTTGAATGCAGGGTAATTCTAATGTGATTTTTAAGACACATCAGCAAGGCACTTGACATCAAAATTATTGAAAATACTGTAGCTACTCTAAAGTATTATACACTGTACTTTGTCTTTAGCTGGTTCAGTTGGTAAGGCAGCTGGACTGTCTCCTTGTTTCTCCGGATTAACCTCTGTTTCAGCCGGTTCTGATGATTTAATATCTACGTCTTCTGATTCACTTTGTTTTGTAGCTGTTTCACTTCTTTCTTCTTCTTCTACTGTTTTAGCGTCTCTCTCCTCAGCTTCAGCTGGTTTTGTGTCTCTGGCTGTTATTTCATTGCTTTCTTTTACACTTTCAGTTTGTGGCGACTCGGCTTCTTTTGCAGCCAACGCGTCCTCGGAAACTTTGGAGGACGACTGCATCGTCTCTTCTCCATCTCCTTCGTCGGCAGTCTCTGCAGGTGACGCTGTCTCCTTCTCCTCCTCCCTCTGCTCCTTTCCACCAGCCTCTTCTTTTTCCTGTGTAATAAAATCAACTGGAGTCAGAGGTGTCAGGTCCAGACATGCCTTAGGAGAGGATGTTGCTTTTCTTCTGGGAGGGGCAACTGGCTTTTGCATTTCTGAATCTTGTTCCCACAGTATCTGATCTGAATGCACACTTATATCTTTCTTTTCCAGGGTTGTTGGATGATCGTCTGTACTTCCCCAGTCTAATTCCTCTGATGGAAACTCAAAGCTTGAGATGCTAAGTGGATCTACTGGGGTTTCAGGCACTTTTTTTACCTTTATGGAGACACTTTTCTTTGTCTTACTCTTCTTACTCTTTGTTGCTGACTGTGTTTTATCCTCTTCTGGTGATCGAGGGAAAGGCTCCACATCACATGGAGAAGAATTGGCACTGGACCTGAAGAAGTCTGTGATTTCCTCCTCCGAGTTTGGCATCTCACCTTTTTCAGGCTTTGACAGTAAATCGAAATCATACAAATCTTGAGGTAATGTCCGAAGACCTTGCTCTTGGCCTTTTTCTTTATCCCTTGCTTCCACCTCCACCGTGGGTGTCTCATCTATCAGGACGTATTTCTCTAAATATCCCCTGGCCTCCCGGTCTGAATGCCTGCTGTGGAAGGACTTCTCAGAGGTCATACTTTCTGCATCCTCTTCTTTTTGTCGACTGCCGATTGCTTCCTCATACAGGTCGGTGTAAAGGAAGGCCATGGCTTTGGGCTCTTCCAGCAAAATGGGGTCGATAATTTTGGGAGGTCCGTCAGGTAGAAAGATCGGAGTCAGGATGTCCTCTTGGCTTCCAAATAAAGTCGAGCCGCTTGGTTTTGAAGGGAGCCTCAGGGGCACACCTTCAGCCACTTCACCTTTAACCTCTGTGTCTAGACTTTTCATGGCATAGTTGTCGGTACCACCGTAAAAGACTTCATCTAGAAGCTCGCTGTTGATTTCCTCTAGACTGACTGTGTCTGACCTGTCATTATCCACAGTTGTTATGGTGGTGGCGTCTGTAGGCTGCACCAGGCTCTCGGTATCCTGGCTCCTGGCGGTATTCTCTGCCTCGGGTTCCACTTGTTCCTGTGCGATCACAGCAGGGCTTCCTGGAGCCTGGGCATCGATCAGGGCGAACGCCTCAAAGTAGTCCACATTTCCAGTAGCTCCTCTGCCTGGAGGTCTGGCCACTGGCGCCCCTGGTGGATCCATTACATGCTTAATTTGTTCATCTGCTGCTACAACTGACACCGTTGGAGCAATTGTTGAGATCCACAGCTCGTTATCATTGGTCTCCTCACTTGCTTTAGGGACGGGGCTCTCCACCAGATAAAATAAGTTGTCCACCATTTCTTTGCTCTCCTCTTCATCCACAGTAGCCAGTTTAGGAGGAACAACAATGTTGAGGATTTCAGAGCCTTCAGACACTAATCTGAATAGCCGTTGTTCTTTATCTACCAGAGGCTCAGTTGGATCTTCTTCATCTCCCTCTCTTTCGGTTTTCACATTTGGCTCTGAGAATCCTACTAATTCTGGCCTTCCTGAGATGTTCTCCGAGCTTTCTACAAGGACTTCTCGTTGTCTCCTCTGACTGGTTACCCGCTCTTTAGATTTCTTCCGTCTTGAAATAAGCTCCTCATCCATGACAAAGATTATCTTTCCTGCTGGAACAGACCCAGGTTTTGCAGACCGGAGTACAACCGGAGAGCTGAGATCTGCTGTTGAGTTTCCAGCCTCAGATCCCCATGGTGTGTTGCAGCGACTAGGAGTCGTCTCCCACGCGATCCCGCTGTCCTCGCCTTGCATAGTTACCATGGAGAAGCAGGAGTCCATCATCAGGCACTGCATCTTAGGTCGGACATCGTCATTGTGGACAGCCTCACGTAAACTGAAAATAACACACAAACAATGTGGCAGTGAGATAAAACTACGCAGATATTGTTCCCATGCAGGAAGGCCATAATCAATCATTTTGGAGAATCTAGTTTGTGGTGCTGTTGAAATGTATTGCATTATATGGGGAGCTGTTGCGTTTACTGTAAAACCTGATGAGTTAATTGCCTTAAATGGTTTAAGTTAATTGACTCAAACAATTAAAGTTTTCTTCATTTTTTTAATCGTGCACAGGGCCATGAGAAAAAACGTGATTTAGACACTTTTTAAAAACACCCACTGAAACAATCCAATATCCGTTTTAATGTACACTTCATGTAGAATATTTTCAGTGGTTTATCTTCCTGTGAAAACAGCAATAGCTGAACTACTGTATTCCTATGCACAAGCACACCTACAGAGCCTCCACACAGCCACAGTGTGCCTTCATCTGATTTACAGTCAGTTGGCAGTTTATCTAGCTAAAACTGACATGAGCTAGTTTAGCAGTTTGAGCTAGTTTTTAGGTTTATAGAGCCTCAGGAGAAGAGCAGTGATGAGTTTGTTGGTGTTTCCCTCTGGTATAGGAGAGGAGGAGGAAAGAGGAGAAGATTCACTTGAAGCCAACTTGCGTGCTTGTCATTGGTTTCAGGGGACTCTGACCTGATATGTTTGGCCA